CTTCCAATTTGTTCGCTTTGTTGTTGGTTCGGTTTGAATCCAATTTCTTGCGCAAACATAGTTCTGCGGAACTTGAACAATGCTAAAAGTATGATCCCACAAGGCATGAGATCGTTTTTATTTGGAAGATCCAATCTGATTCAATAGAAATGTATTTCAAGGGAAAGCTATATTATTTTCCTAAGAAGCTAAACTACTCTTAAAGAATTTTTGCCCTGAAATAATACAATTTGCACAGATTTATCCCTACATTTTTTACATGAATGTGTAATTTTTCAAAATTTTTATCAAAAATTATCATTTTCAATACTTTATAACAAGAAAGTTTGAAGGTGAAATAGATCAAGCTTTTTACTGGAGCTAAAATAGTTTCTTTTTAATTAACGAAAAAATTTGTGTTACGATTTTCAAGATTTCATAAAGATATCTTTCTATTTTTTATTTTATTTTTAGCTTTAAAGCTGCAGTTTTATGCTTTATTAAAGATTAGCAAGCAATAATACAACAATGAACTTTACTATAAATCTCTTAAGCTTATTAATTAGATTATTCATTGCTTCTAAAGCTAATCCTACTAATAAGAATAAGTGACACTGGGAGCGCCAGTTGCAGCTGCGACGCAAAACATCCGATAAATCAACGCGAAATTCGCCTCTTCCCCCGGAGAGGCAAAGAAAGCTGGCGGACGTTCGAGATAAGCAAAAAAGGAGCAGCAACAGTTTGCGATGACAGCAGTCTATAAGCGCGGCGGCGAAGGGTTGCAGCTGCAAATCCAGCAGCTTTTATTGCCTTGACCTGTTGCTGCCTGTGGGAATTTGTCAAAAACTGATAACACTGGGGCTGCGTCTCTTGTGCGCGCAAAACAGACAGATCTCTCTCTAAAATTTTGACGTTAGTCTGGATGGCAGATTTAAACTCGGGAGCTTCAAACTTTTGGGTCGAGATTAACTTTGGTGGTTTCGCAGCTTCATGCAAAACACGATCTCTGCGGCTTAATGCAGAAACTATATAATTCCGTTTCTTTTGCCACTCTGCGGGTGTTACTTGGTGGAATTTTACTTCTATGAATCCCTTTGATAATTTTTTATGAATCTTTTTTCGTAGAAATTTGATGCTGCGTGAAATAATCAGGAAAAATTTAATTGCAAACACAAGCAATCATTTTTATATTGATGGAAAAATAACTGTTGAATTAATTTAATTAACTAATCATAACAATAAGTTCCACCAAAATTTTATAAAAAAATGTCCACGGTAATTTTATTTTACTTAACACAATTAAAGAAATTATACTTTTAAAAGAAATTTCTAAGACTTCTTTCATTAATATCGATTCTTTAGGCACTTTTTTTTTATCAAAAAATCCCATTATTTGGAAAAAAAATAAATTGACGAATATTAGAATATTAATTTGTACATCTGATATATGATAGTTTATCCAGGTAATTGCATGAGTAACGATTTTAAACAGAAATATCATACGTACGTTGTTCAAACTTTCTGCGCGTTTAGCCATTCAAACATAAATTGCCAATTAGCCTGCAAAACAAACAACTCGGGGGTAGAGACTAGGTTCGCTTGTGCTCCGAACATAGGAGTGCACAATGCACGTAAATTAAATTAAACCAGGCAAACCCTGAAATGCCCAAGCGAGTAATTCAATGGCCCATTATTCCGGTCGCGCTCACAGCTCGCGCATATAAAGGCGACGCACGGTTGGAGCTCTATGAAATCTAGCCCGTTCAACGCCTGCAAGCAAAACACTTATGCAACACTCTTAACGTGCATCTTACGCGGGTTGCATAATGTACGCCTAGCATGTAAGAAGAGCTGAAACAAGTGAAGAAAGGATCAACTAATGGTGCCGAGGCAATATTGTATTCCAGCTTTGAAACTCGGGTAACGAGAGAAGGCCAGAAGAAAAACTCACAATCAGAGCATAAAATGTGGAATTCAAACTAATTTTCTAACATAAGATTCTTAAATTATTACTTTTAGAAGTTCAACAACATTTATACTGCAAATAATTAAAAAAAAAATATATAATTGTTTTAAGAAAGGAACTATTTATTTTGAACAGATGTTTAAAAAAGGAGTCATAACAGACGAATATCCATTACTTTTAATCTGCAAAATCTTTTTTATGCTTTCATAAAGCACACGAGAAATAGTTTCCTTACTTAAATTAATCTCATCTTTAATCTCCGCCAACCGAGAAGTGAATAATGACACGGTGGCTGTGCAAATTTTCAGCAAATATTTGTCCGCCCGTTTAGAAAGAGGTGCAAGGCCCCGTTGCAGCAAATGCCACGGCCAATTAGCAAAACCAGAGGCCCCATCATTCCTAATTTGTCAAAGTCGCGCTCGCGCCAAGAAAGATTGATGCACCCGCCGCGTAGTCGGCTTTGATGAGTCCGTGGCAATCATTTCGCCGGAGCGCTCCTGGTATCGATCGACAGGCGCCGCCACTCCAATTCTCTCTCGGCCGTCAAGTTTGCTGCGGCGAAAAATATGTGGGGGAAATTAACGCGCCCAGGAGATCTAATATACGAAGTGCCATTACGGCCGACGGCCCACCCCAGCCAGTGATTATCTGAGAATATAATATAAAAAGCTGCTGACTGGACGGAGAGTGCAATTTTACGGATGAACGATGTGGTGGAAGAATCGCAGTAATTTTACTGGAAGCGCTAATTTGCATAATTATTCCAATCGTTCCTCTATTAATATCACAATTAAAAAAAAAAAATATTAATTTTCTAAAGAATTTTTGCTTTAAACGTTTAATACGTTCAAAAGCGTAAATTTTTAATTAAAATTTTATTAATATACTTTTATTCTAATATTTACTAGTAGGTGGACATTAACAATGGGTGTTACATTATAATTTTTTAAAGCAAGCAATTTAAGTCACACATTTCTAATTTTTAACATTATTCAAAGAATGTTAAAACGGAATATTTAAGTTGACTCAAATCTCTCATCCCACCATGCAATTAAAAAATTTTGGTTTAAAACATTTGAATCTCATCGTGGCTTGTGCATTGCAGCGCAATTTCCCAGGAACGATGTGAGCCGAGCTCTTTTCACCCTGGCTTAGCTGCTCGCGAGCCGGGTCGTAATTCCGCCCCTCTGGATAATGCTCGGGCGAGTCCTTCGTTCGCAACTGCACACAGCGGTAATTAGCACACACGCACGGCGAGATAAAGGAGGACGCGGCTGCCAACTTAATTATCAGAAACTGGCCGTGCACCTGTTGGAGCGCATCTAGCGCCCTTTGAAGCTCAAAGTCTGCTCTCTTTTTACCTAAGGTACTTTGAGATGAGAGCAGAAATAAATAAAAGTTCCTCACGTACACGCAGAGAAACCTTCTACTGAACCTTTTTGCAGCTGACGTACAAAGTTTATCCGTCCTATTTTTTTACTAAAAACTTTATTCCTAAATGTTCCTCTCAAAAACTGCTTTTTTTTAGTGCACGCAATAATATAAAAAACGAACATGTTCATGTTTTGTAACAATCATGCTGAGTTTATTTCGTCCGATAAAAAAAGAAAACCATTGACGTCGATGTTTGTTGGTTAACCCCAAGGCTGTAACACTGGCATCTTTTCTATTGTGCTCCGACAACAGTCATGCGTCATGCGAGTTTTTAGTTTGTTTGTTCGGTTCGATCTCAGTACAAATATCGGTGCTGATAACATGATTCGCAGAAAAAAATGACTTTTCCTGTCCTTTAAAATTGAAAAACTGGTAGATGATTACAGAAAAAATAAAAACAATGTAAATTTCGTCTTTTCAAATTTTCCAAAAGGAATTTTATTATGGATCTGCTGCAAATTTTTATATCTCTTTTCCTCTTCGGGAACAAAAAATGAGTGCTCTTATTCTTGTTTTTGCGCCAAGGCATGCTGATCAACATCAAATTTCTCATCACTCTTCAAACGCAGCCAAGTCACGAAAGGCGCTATTCATAAAAAAAGCTTCCTGCTTGCTTGCTCCTTTGTTATAGCAGCAAGACATCATTTTTCATCATTCCACTTTTCGAAAGCAGCGCGCGTGTGCCCGTTCCTAAAGAGTTTCTGCAAAAAAAAGCTAACTGAGATGCTCATTACTCTTGAGATCGATAACAATGTCGACCAGAAAAGAATATAATACAGCTGGCTAAAGAAAAACACAAAAGCCAAGCTCGCATGTACCGAATTTGGAGGGCAACGGTTTGATGTATTGATTTAATATTTTATGTATGTGCACTAAATCACGATTTTTCAAATATTTTATTCAAATTTTCGGATTTTTTTACAATGATCTGGCAAAAGCAAATTAAATCTTTCAGTTTCTTTTTAAAAAAGTAAAAAATTTAAAGCTTAACCTTCTGAAATAACAAATATCCATTTTTATGCCGTTCTAAAACATCATATTTGACCAATTTTTTTGTTAATAATTTCATTTACGCATAGAGTGTGTGTTACAAAGAAAAAAAATATTCAATTAAAATAAATGAAATAGTAAATGCAAGTAATAAGGAAAAATATACGTAGCATTATGGTCATAGCAGGAAATATATTTTCGCAAAATCCACCAATTTTGCCTTCATAGAGAATTTCTTCTGGAATAAGTTTATAATCAATTAACAGTTTTATTTTGAAAAAAATCTTTTTCAATCTGGACACGGCGCACACATATTCCTATTTGAATTAGAAATGAATTCCAAACATCCAAATATAATATTTCGAGGAAGACGCGTCCTTTGAAATGCTTCCCTGGAATATTTCTCTATACACCTTTATCCGCATTTTAAGTATGGATCATAATAATTCAACAATGGCAGACGAGCCTTTTGATCCTTTCGAGGAACTTCAAACAGCGGAAGGTCAAAGCAAGGCATCATTGCATTAGCGAGCGAAAAACGTTGCTAGGATACCTTGTAAAAATTTACGACTGTAGTCTGGCAAAGAAAGAATAGACAAAAATAACAAAAGATCGTTTCTTTTGTCCACAGGTAGAGATGCGACGACAAAAGCGCAGAAAATTGCCAAATCCGTGCTAGCAGGCCGCTAGCAGCTTTGTCTCTCCGACAGCCCCTTGTGAGAGGAAACAACGCAAAAAAAGAGGAGGAGGAATAGCACACCTTCACAATGCTGCCCACAAACGTGATGTACTTCATGAAGAAGGTGAGTTCGGGCGGAAATCTTTAACGGGATGGGAAGCCTTCGCAGTAACAACGCGTGCAAATCGAACTGTAAATTCCGCTTCAATGCTGCGCAAACCTGATCAAAAATATGCGTTGGTATTCAAATTTGGTATTAAACGAGCGGATCGTTATTGAAAAATAATTTTAGAGTTAAATATTATCTCAATAATTGCCAAAAAAATATTATTGCTGGTAAAATAAATCTAAATAATAAACGCTAATTATTTTGCTTAGTGTACTCTGGAGTCAAAATGAAACTTCTCCTTTCCACGATTTCAATGAGTCATAAACAGCTAGCAAGTTCTCAATTAGTCATCACCACATTTTTCAGTAATTTTTTGCAGATTGTGCAATTTTTTTTTAGCAAAATTCATCAGTATGGGACCCTTTTTGAATTTTCACTTTAAAAGCTGAAAACATGAAAATAATTTTACTTAACGTCTTTATAAGCGTAAAATTCATTCAAAGATTTGATTTAATATGACAAAGTAAAAAGTCAAAGTTTTATAAGCGAATACAGTTTAAATATTTGCTTGAGAATTTTGAATGTTTAAGATCGAATTAAAATGTGATAAATATCCATTTTTTTTTTTATCCTCGATTTATCACATTTCTTTCTCGAACTCTCCCCCATCCCAGTAGATTTCAATTCAATTCCAAGAAGTCGTATTTGAAGCTCAACAAGGCACTCGCGCAACCCGTGCGAACAAGTCACTAGGGAGGTAAAAAGGAAGCTGGTCTGCACTGGCGTGTCCCTTGTTAGGCGGGTTAGTCGCTTCGAACAAAGAGCCTCTGCTGCTCGTGGTGTCTCGAGCAAAGCCAAAACCAACATAACAGGTGTTTGAACAATGACTGTTGCTTTGTCGCCGAGCTAACCCAATAAAGAGGGCGGCTGCTTAGACTGCGCCGCCAAGCATAAATGTGGAGGTAAAGCGCGCGAGTGTGTGCTCTGCTCACCAAGCCAAACGCAGGCACCTTATTTCGATATATTCCACACCATAATATCATACAAAACATTATCGATCTGCTAATCTATTATGGCACACCTCTGTGATGGGGTGGATTTTGTACACATAACATACACACACGTGCATAAGTGAGAGAGAGGCGCACACCGTGCACACACAGGAAGGAAATTGAGCGTGAGCGACAAAATTGGTTTCACAGTGGCGTGCTCGGCCTCTTTGACAGACACCCTTCTGATACTCGTTTGAGTGCCGGGCGTTTAATGGATGTTTGTAAGCCGGTAATTGCCGAATTTAATCTCTAAATTAAATGTCCTCAAAATGCAACATGCTTGTCGGGGAAAATTTTGAATTTTATTCAATAATTCAATAATAAATGGATCATCATCAAATAAGCAAAGAAAAACTTTACAAAAAAGTTTTTCAATAGGAATAAAAGATGGAAACTGTTAAAGAATCTGCCTTCTTTTACATATAACAAAACGACTCTAAGGAAAAAATTCCAATTTTAAAACAAAATGAATAGTGAAATTAAAATTTAACAAATTCAAGCACGGGTTATTATGTTTATTGCATGATTTTTTTTTGTGAAATTTTTTTGCACATGGCTGGTTTTTAAAAATTTTTCCTGCTCAAGAAATAAAGGTATCAGGTCACTTTCAAAATTTGAAGAGCCGATTTGCTTTTGATTGAAGATGCGTAACTTCTCTATCTAAATACCGTTTTTATTCCACTCATAAGTATGAAAGAGCGACTTTTAAAATTCGTTATTTTGTCAGTTTCTGCAAAAGAGATTTCTGAAAAATGTATCAGTAAAAACGCTTCTATATTTTATTTATTTGGAATTCCATTTTATACATTTCATTTTCATATACTTTCTGGGCACGCCTCTGCAGAAGTGTCGATACATGTTGTTAGAGTCAGAAATGTTTTGTAAAGTAGCTCTAGCGACGCTTTTATGCAGCCTTTCAGGTTCTCAGAGGATTGATGGATTAATAATGTAACCACACACGGGTGCGCAGGAAAAATCCAATTTTCGGTTTCGCGCTGCTCTTTTAGTGCCGTCGTAAAGCTGAAATCCAGCAATATTTTACCTTTTGTCGACATTTTTCAGCACATTTCCCTCTCCGCCACGAATTTTTACCTCTGCCGTTTTGCAGAGAAGGAGGTATTTAAATTATGCCAGAAATGATTATTTGTCAATATTAAAAAAGGGCAACAAAATATAAACATTCATTCTTGGTTCTTTCATTAAAATAAATATATATGTTCAATTAAAGAAATTGTAAAATATTTCGTGAATCATTTTATATTTTTGTATAACAGGCATTGGAAACAATTTTTTTTATTATAAGCTTTACTCTCTAATTACAGTGATGAAACAGGATTTTCATAATAAAATAACTCTCCGCAAGCAGAAGTTTTGAGACGCCGTCAGCTGCTGGGATACTCCCACGCATTAAAAGTTGAAATTAAATCCAATCCCGAATTCCCTCGACCGAAGTGGAGGCAATAAAATGTGCGCGCCGCGGGATAATTGCGTTTTTCGCGCTGCCGCCGCTGCTGGAGCGGAAAGTAATTCTTCCCAGTAGAACGCGGACGCTTTTATTTGTTTCGTACGTTTTGCTTTGCAGCGCTCACTTTAATTATGATTCATAACTCTCGACGGGATTTATGTGGGAAACTGCTCCAGATTATCAGCAGCGCTGAAGTTGTGAGAGGAAAAAGAGTGAAAATCCAATACTTTTTTTGTGAAATGTGAAACAGAACTGATTAATGGATGGATGGGAAACTAATTTTTTTTCGCAGTTTCATGGCTAGAGAATTTGTGTTTTCTTTATTAGCATTATTATGTTTTCAACCGAAACATGCAAAGGAACTTAACGATCTCATGAATTTTCCTATTTAACTGTCAAAGAAATTTTAAATTAAACACACTTAAAATTTGATTTAACTCCCTTCCATCTAAAATATATTTTATTTTTACATATTACTATTCATATTTTTTTATTTAAAATTCAGAATGGAATGAACTATTCAAAAGAATGAAATAGAATAAGTAAATGAAAACTGTATTTTGTTGCATTTAATTTTTATTAAACTTTAAATAAAATAACTTCTGGTATTTTACCTTTGCATAATTATTTAAATTGTTTTATTATATTAAAATGACTACACAAAATTTTAAGCCCCATGGCTAATAATGTAAAGTAATTAGCAATTGGGTAGCTGAATTCTCCTTTGAAAGCTACCCAAGTGCAGAATTCCGCCGCCTCAAGTTGGGCAGCTGTGTTAAGTCGTTATTAGTCTAACTTGACTCTCTCAAAACTGATGAAGTTGTAACTTGGCAAAAACGACCGAGCCAGTGGCAGCAAATCGCCTCCAGTTTTCAATTGCCGCATCCGTGGGCTCGAAGGCACTTTCCGCCTCGTCGATTGCAAAGCCAAATCCGCCACAGAGAGAACCGGCGAGTTATTCTTTGCAAAAAGGACGCATCTGTGTTTGTGGTTGTGGCGAATTAGCCTCGCAGGGAAACTGCGGATTGTTTGCAAACATTAGGCATACAATCTGCACATCCAACTCACTCAAAAAGAGAGGGTGAGTTTATCTGCGAAGTTTCTGAGATATTTTGCTACCCTGCCTTTTGTCTCAGTTTAATTCAAAATTCAAATAGAATCACGATTTTTCTTTTTCAAAAATCAATTATAAAAAATGTCTCTCTTTATTCAGTTCTTTCTGAACACATTAGTTAACACATGGCTGACGTAAATAAATTTACACTTGGCTCATTTAAATAAATATGATTTTTACGTTCAAAAATAGCATAAATGATGACAATAATATTTTTGTTGTTCAAACAGGTAGTAAATAAAATTAGATTAGCATATTAAGAATTTTGAATTAAAACTGAGACGCTTGCGCCTTTTTAAAGGCTTTATTTTGAATACAAAATTAGCGCGATTTTAACTTTGGTGCGTTGTTAACATTGTCACTTTTTCCTGGTTCGACTGATGCTTTTACGAGACAACGCGGCTGCGGTTTGATGCGCCGCGTGCGAATTTAATTACTCCGCTCCATGTGTTCGGTTTTGCGGAATTTCAGCCTCAGCAGCCAAGCTAATGGCAAAGTTGGTTTTTGCTCTCTCGTGCCGCGTGCGAGCACGGCCCGCTTAATTTGCCTCGTTGTTTTGTTAGCAGCGCGAGTTAAGCTCGCTGCGAGTCACAAATTTCGCCACTGACGCTGGGTTGGCAAAAGCTTGTTGCTCTTCGGGCTGGCCGCAGAATTCGTGTGCGCGGGATTACTCTCGTCCCTGAGCCCTGCAACTTTTGCCTGCGTCCGGTTCGAAGCATATTTCATTTTGCAAAGCACCACCATGTTGTGCGTGTGCGGTGGAGTGTGAGCGACGGAGCTGCAAAAGTTCCCTCTCGCGTCTTGCTTCTCTCATAAAGTAGTGCCCTAGCATTGCAAAGTTACATAATATTTGTAAAATTTACTTTATACAATTTAACAGCCGTTTTAAAGGATTGAAAATCAACCGTTTATTTGAAAATATTATAAAGTGGATTCATGATATTAATGAATTTAATTTTAACATCATTAAAAAGAGAGACAATTTAATGATTTGATAAATATTTATATAATTCCATCCTTAAATGATTGCTTTTAACTTAAAATTTGGTAGTTCAGGTCTCTGAAATCAAACAAATATTGAAAATGAAAATTTATTTTAAGTTTTTTTGTTAAATTTGTATAAGTTTTTGTTAATTTGTATACAATTAAAAAAATTTAAAACTTAATTTTGTTGTGCATAATAATCAAGATCCGCAATATTTTCATTGAAACTCTTCAATTAATTTCCGTTGCTATTTTTGTCGCAATTTGATTTTACGTCTCAATTTCCGTGAGTGGCGGACCCACCATCCCACGCACACTTAATTCTCAAAGTTCGCTCAGACCTGTGGCAAAATGAATGGGGCCTCGTTATTTTTGTGCCCGGCTTCTCGGATGCCACCCACTTGCAAAACTTAACCTTATCATTCGCGACGATCCGCCGTTCAAAAGAGGCGGTGCAAAATTTAGGTGCTGCTGCTGCTGTCTTAATCAAATTACCTCACGCGGTGTATAAATTTAAATTCACCCTCGCGCGCTCTACGGCGGAGCGACGGCGCTCGAGATTATCTCCCTACCGACTAATAAATCTGCACGTCGAGGTCGGGATTGCTTTTCCATTAAGTCCCACGATGCTTATTTTTGCGTCTCTTTCTCTCTTCAAGATTTACACCTCGATTATTTGCGGAGTAAGACAATCTTCAATTTATCTTTGGCCCGTATATTTATTCTGCTGAAATGAGAATGAGCATGACGAGTCTACAATGCTCTGCTAGACAAACAAAAAATTCTCATTTGTCCCAGCAAAGCGGAACGTGACAGAAAGCAAAGTATATTTTCATGTAATCATAAATAGAATTTGAAATTGTAAACGAGAACTTCTGTCATATTATGAAACAAATATGCGCCATCTCACAATCAGAGAAAGTTCACTTTTTGTGCATATTAATAATTATTTTATTGTTGGCAAGGGTTTTAAAAATGTACAAAAATAAAAAAAAATCTATTCTATTCTGATCAATTAAATGTCAGTTTTTTTAGCATTGCATATTCTAAAAATTCGGAATTATTATTATAAAAATAAAAAACCAAATATTTAATTAAAAATAATTATATTATATCCCTGTTTATTTATGAAGAAACGGTTCATTTGTGCATTTTAATTATCTATCAAATTCTTTCCACGTTTTAATCGTTTTTTCCAATTATATATATTTTTAGAGGCCTTAGAAGTTTAAAAGATTGGTTATAGAGGTAAAGAAAATTGAGTGGAGTAATTTAATCTTTTGCTATTATATACTTATGATACCTTGGCAATGCAATAAAAAGGTCTGATATTGATGTCGGGTTATGAAGCCCTGATGAAGTTAGAAAGAGGAGGATGAAATTCGTAAGATATTTCGTTTCCTTATTTTATTTGGTTCAACTTTCTGGTTCGATCTATAAAGAACGAAATCCGATCAAAAATAAATAAAATGAAAAACAAAATTGAAAGATTTTATTGTAATCACGCACATGTGGTGAGTTGCTGAAATCTGGCAACAAAATTTCCAACCATTTCAATTCAGCATCAGCCTATGTAGTAACACCATCATTTCGCGCAAAACAATGCAACGAAACCGTCATAAATGTCAGCTATTAAAATGCTTTCTCGTTGCTCGTGCCGTTCTCCAAATTTCCTTCCCCCTAATCAAAACCGCGCTGGCAGGGCTCAGATGTTCCCGGGAGGCACGTCACTCGCCGAAAACCGTCCGTTCGGATAGGGACCAGCGCGGCGCACAAAAGACTCTCCCGCAACAGCATCTGACCGTGAGTTACGACGATGTGTCATTATTTGCGAGAGAGAGCGAGTTGCCTGCTTGCTGCTCTCTGCCCTGCTTTTTATCGATTTCCCCTGAAAGCAGCACAGCTCGCAGTAAATTTGAATGCTCGAATGCCCCATTCTCTCGTCGGCGAAATGCACCGCGCTCAAATTCCGCGCTCCCAGCAGTGCGCCTCGCCTCGAGGTGCGAAACACATTGAAAATCGAGAAGACACTTTCAGTCAAATTGGAATTGCTCCCCTCGCGTCCCGTATACTCGAAATGAAATGCACCAAGGCATAAAAGAGCTGTTTGCCCTTGAATTGCAAATAATGGCGAGCAGGAATTTCGATTTGCTCGGCAGTCGAGAAGGTCGGATGCATTCTAGTGCAGCTCTTACTTTTAGGTCAGGAATATATACACACACCATTGCGGCTTACAAAGGGAACAAAAGCGGTCCACGTCGATTGAAATCTTTCATCCCTTCATTGTGCGGCTTCTTCTGGTGCTGGAGTGGAACTGTGTTTGCTCCTAGTTTATTAAAGTCTTCCTTAAGTTGCAGCTTCAGATCTTTTCTCATTGTTAACTTCGTATCTTTGTAATAATTTATCAAGTCTTGCTTGCCTGGAAACAAGAGGGGATTCCTTTTATAAATTGATCGAGTCAACTCCAGTTTATTTTATTATGAAATTAACAAATAAAGCTTAAAGTTAAAAAAAATACATTTTTAACATTTTTTTTTTTTTTTTTAAATTAGAATTGAAAGCTTTTAAAAATGCAGTTTAATATCTGGCTGTTTGAAATAAAATTGGATTAAATTTTTAAACTTTTCACTCACTCTGATTATAATCTCTTTTTTTCTAAATTGTAAAGTATTTCTATCATCTTTGGTTTGCCACTAATTTTTTTAGTCAATGCAGATTTAATTCAAGGAAAAGCAGCTCCTGCTATTGTATTTTTGACGCAGAGGTCACCGGAGCCGAAACTCCACACGTGTCTGCCCCCCATTGTGGGATCCAGTGCAAACAACCCTTGCCCTCTTCTTTAGGAGCAAATTATTTTCGCTTCCGAATGAGATGGAGAGATTTAATTGCAATCGAGAGGAGGGCAAAAACAAACGGCCGCACTATCCAATTTCCTCTCTTTTCTTGCCACGCGTGCCCGACCCTTAGGCCGTAATCAAATTTTAATCACGTTCTTGCGTTTGTTTTCAGATGGTGACAACGACCGAGACCGAGTCGAGTGGGTCTGCCACCGGAGGCGATACAACCGGCACCACTCTCAGCAAACTCCGGCAGACTTTATCTTCTGGCCTCATGTCAGCGCAGGAAACTGGTCAGTTAATAATTAAAAGCCTTAATTTACAGAAGAAGCAGAATTCGTTGAATTTGCATTATGAAATTTCGCAAAAAGATGCGTTGAAAATCTCATTTAAATCACTTTAAATCACCCCTTTATCAATATTCAGACTCGAATATCAGTTGACACACTGAAAATATTAAATTTTTACATAAAAGGCTATTTTAGGCTCAAATTTAAGTACAAAAAGTATTTAAAGGATTTTTTTATAGATGGCTTTGTAGCAAATTATTTCAAATTCTTTTCTCCTCTTATATTTTTGGCAGCTCCTTTTTCAATTCTAATCATATTGACAATATTTCTGGCCTGGCTAATGAGTGAAACTGGATGATGTGCAAGCAAAAAATGGCGTCTACAAAGGCCGCTGGTTTGCTGAATCGCATTTACGTCAGCAAAGTGTGCGATTGCCGAGGGCGCTCCAGGATTTCTGTCATTTGATTCCATTTTGCTTGCGAAACATCAAAGCTGATTTGCCGTGGTTGGAAATTCGCTTTGACTTTCCTTGTTGCGTTTTGAAAAGGCTGAAATTATAGCGCAATGAATTGGATAAAGCCTAATATGCAAAATTTTCAACCTCGAATAGTTTTCTTTTCATAAATAAACTGGATGGAATATTTGAAACCTCTAGTTTTCAATCTTGGAATTTAACATTAAATACCACCCTTTCAGGTAACAAGGCGCTTCAAATTATTAAAGGTCTAATAACGTGATAACCTCATATTTTAAAAATTTATAATGCTTTGAAAATAGTAATTACAGTCATGAGAAGTGATTTTGACTCTCAAGAATCCTTTTTATCAACAATTTAATTTCTACTTTCAGATAAAAACTACTGATTCATATTTGAATATCAAATTAAATTTTTAGCACTGCCAATCACATTTAATATTGAAAGGAGTCCTTCATGTACTCAATCATTTTATACCACATTAAAATTAATAAATAAATTAATATTTAAATCAGTCTTCTTTGTTTATTGAAAGAAATGAGAAAAGTTTGACCTTTCATGCAAGAAAACTGCCTCTTTCCTTAAGAGAATAAAAGCAAGAAAATTATTTCGTCTATGCCAACAAAACTATTTTTTGCCGCTTGTTCAGCCATTCTGAGAACTAGCGCAACTCTGTGGAAAACATCAATCTCCGAGGAACGCGTGTTTCGCAAGCAGAGCAAAAATTGTGTCTGGCTCCTTTGGTCTTTTAGTCTTTTTCATTTCGCCGGCGCTTTCCACGAGCGCCCGTGGCAACTCTGTCTTCATTTTTCAGTACGAGCCGCGCCCCCGGGAAAACCAGAAAAGCTCGCAGCTGCCTGCAAACAAACACAAAAACGGAACAAAGAGGCGCGAGCAAATTGCTCCAGAGCTGCGAATACGCGCGAAAGCTTCCACCGATTACACTATATACGTACCCGGAAATAATTTGGCGGCGGTCCAGGTTTTTTCCACCGCCATAAAACGCGAATCGGATGAAGAGGACGATGGGACGCTCATCGACCCCGTTTTGCCACCAGTTGCTCAGTCGCTGGCATTGTCACACATTATTTGTTGTAACAGGTTGCTTTTTTATTCGGTTGGTTTCTTTCTGTTTAATTCAGGCATTTTCTTTTTGAAATGTGTTATAAATATTTTTAAATAATTTCATTTAAAATTTTTGGAAAGTATGTTTAAATTAATTGAAAGTTCATTTTTAAATTTTCAACGATTCAAGTTATTTAAATTTTTATTCCTTCTGTAAATTCTAGAAGCAAGAGATTTTTTAATTATCCATGTTTTAACTATTGCCTAAACAATGGGGGAAATATTTTTTCTATCACAATTGTACAAAAATAGTTTAAAAGATTTTTATTTTTTATTAAGTTTACATTAAAATTATTTTGATATCATAATCCAATTTATTTTAGTTTTTTATTATTATCTATATTGATTATAATTTTACTTTTTTATTTTATATTATTGTTGAAAATTTATTAAATTATACCCAATTATACCATAGTGCACAAAAACGATGCATGCTGTAAATATAAATACAGAATTTTTATATTTTTCCTCGGCTTCTGCAAGGTTTATATTGGTTACAGACCTCCTAAAAAGAAGATATTCTGTTCTCCCTTATCAATTTTTTATTACATGATTTCCATTTATAATTATTATACCACTCATAATTTAAATTAATTTATTTGATTATTTTTATTTTTTAAATATTCAAAAGTTTGAAGTTCTTCATTTTGAGTCTCTAAATTTTAATTGTAAATTATCCTTACATCTTGAACATTTAGTTGCAAATTGTGTTAATTGATCTATCAATTGCTGCTCATAACGGGATACATCATATATGCATTAAAAATTGTAAAATTCAATACAATTGATAGAAAAGATGAGAATTGTGCAGACAAAAATTTTCCAAGAAAGAAAAATAACAATAATCAAGTTGTTTTTTCTGGTTGCTGAAAGCTTGCGTTTAGATGACTGCCTGATACTTTCCAATGCCGCTTTCTTTGTTATTTTTTTGCTCTTTCTCCTGGCAAAAAACTGCAGCTCAAATTATATTTAGTAAAACAGGCTTTATTTTCGTCTTATTGTTAATTTAATATTTAACGTCTCTATTTGCAGGTTCTAATAATTTTTATTTTGAATTCTGACTGATTCATATGATTCTTTGCTTTTCGCTAAGAATATGTATTGAAAAATTCAATCAAACATTTTTGCTGACACGGAATTTATTTTCGCATACCTGTAAATTCTGCAATTAATTTGTAATTGACAACATACCCTTGTCTCTGTTGCAGTGACCAAGCTGTCACCTACCCGCCAGTCGATGACACCTGACGCGGCGGCAGTGGCTGCCCTTGCCATGGCGGCGCCCAACTTGAATTCCTCGATCAGCCAGCTGGAATTATTAAAGACTGAACAGACCAAAAATCAACAGTAAGTACTAATTTTGGCTAATTCTTACATTTTGATCCAAAGTCTCGTAAGCCTTACAAAGCAGAATTTATTTTATCTAAAATTTATAATAATAATTTTCTAAATATCTTATATTTATTTTACAGAATATCATCTGTGTGTGTTATTGAAAGAAAATTTCAAGATTATTTAATTATTCATCTTTAAATTTTTTACCTTTAAATACACATAAATTTCAATTATATATCTCAATTAAATTGAAATCTTGTTATGTAAAATGTATTTCAATGTGTCAGTAAGTTGAGAAGAATGATGGATTTCAATAATTATTATAAGTATTCACAAATTCAAATATTGTTCTCTTAAGAACTCCTACAAAATAGCAAACGATAGAGCATCTAACAATTTTTTACGGTGAAATCAGGGTGAAATCATACATGAGAATATTTTTTGAATAGGGCAATAGAGGAACCCTTTTCTTCTCCTTTTACTCTCTAGTTTCCACTGACGTCATAGATACATATTTTAGCTTTGCATGCCTCCAAGGCTTATATTTTTCCACAATGCAGTAAACCGCAGACTCTGCATATTGTGTTTCGCGGATTCCAATTAAGCGCGTTGAGGTCTGCGGGGCGTTTCGAGATTTCGTTGATTGACGCTCGGATTACATTGTGGCGCGATTTTACCGAGAAACGGCTCGGGCGGAGATGAAACCCAAGCTCGAAGAGAGAGAGAGGCCGTTCGTAAATCCCCAATCGGGCACCATTTCGCATTATATGAAAAAGCTGCAGATCATTGCGGAGCCGGGAGATTTTCGTTCGCATCCCCAACGAATTCGCCCATGCAAACACGAGCTCGTCCATGTGTGCCGTTCGGATGACTCCGACTGGGCCAATCGATATGACGGAACCTTCGCGACAATTCGCTCCGCTTCCGTTCAATTTGACCCTCGATTTCCGGACGCCGAGTGCTGAAAGACCGAGTGACACTTTTTTAATCTGCGGAGCGAAAATCTCGTCAGACCACGACAATCAAGTTTGGCTCTTGGTGTTTCTGTATCGCTTTTCGGCTGATTGAATGGCACTGACTTGCGCTTTTCGTTTTGTATCAGATAGAAATATATGGGGTAGCTTTCGGTTCTCTAAACGACCCCCGCACTACTTGATCCTCAACATTGTTTATTTGCACATCTATAAAGCAATAAATTATGTTTCTATATATTTCTTAAATTCCGAGTAGTGGAAAAAGTAATATTAATATAGTATTCATAACAAAAAACTGTTTCTTTTTTTAATTATTAGGTTGATAAATAATTCCATTTGAGAATTTAAAGATATAAGATGAAAATTTGAATTCCACGCAATTTGATATACTTGTAACAATTTGTTTTCTTCTTTCCTGCTAGCAATTATAATTTAAAAATTTATAAAAAAAGAGCAGTTTACAAAAAGTTACAACAGTGAATTTTTAGTAAAAAGAATTTCATGTGCTGAAAATAAATTATGTTCATAACAAGTAATAATAATCTTTGTGAGCTAGAACTGCTTTATCGCACTTTTTTTATCTATATAATAATTATCCTCCTTTTTCTTTTTGCTGCAAAAAACAAACAAAATATTGGAGCAGACGATTTCCAATAGAAATAATAAAAATGCCAAGGCAGAGAGAATTCGATTGGCACGTGCGCTGACGAGAGGTTTTATGTGGGCGGCAGAAAAAGCTTAAAACAAGCCATTAACAAGATTTTTTGCGCACCCTAGCGCAGGGAACAAAAACCTGCAAATAAAAGCTAAAAACTGCCAGCCATAAATAATTCAGGACAGCGTAAAAATTCTTCAAAAGGTGCTCGGCCATTTTTTTTCCACGGTCTAATTTGATTTGTTTCACCCTCTTGATTCTTACATTCTGACGAAAAAGTTTTGCTTTCTTTCACCGGCAAATTGCTTTTGTTGCAGGAATAAACTGGAGCAGCTGGGGCGACCACGTTCTGGGGCTTGTCGCGTGTGCCTGAAGAGTTTCAAAACTGAGGATTTCTTTAGAATTTGCTGTGAATGCACTCAGAAAGTGTGTGAGGACTGTGCCTCGTATTCTAAAAACGAAGAGGGCCTAGAAGATGTGAGTATTTTATTTTTACGTTTGTGTGTTTAGAGATGCATAACATAGCTAAATATTTTTATAATTTTTTTTTATTTACAAATTTTTCTCAACTCCTAAATTTATTACTAAAAATACTTATTTATTCAAACATTTTAGTCTTCATCAACAAGTTGAACTTGTTGCATAAATCCCGAGTTGAAAGTACAATTTCTTACAAAATTAATTTTTTTTTTTTATATAAAAATTTGCGCAACAGCTTCACAAAAAATAATGATTTTTGCAAAATTATCAAAGTTTAGTTGCTTAAATTGAATTTAAATTAGAAGCTCATTAAATTTTAACTATTTCACGTTTAAGAAAGAATTTTTTTTTAACTTGTATACAATTGGCAAAATTAGTGTCCAGATGTAATTACTCGCTTATTTCGCTCAATTTACTAATTTTGTAATAGTTTTTTTTTATATATATTACAATATGTAATTTTGCTCATTCAGATAATTCACTGGCTATAAATTAAGCCTCTGATTGCGTTAATACGTAATCCACATCCATTAATTGTTACACAACATTTTGGACTCGCTTAAAATATAATCAATATTTTACCTCATATTGTCCGTGATTTTCCCTCTCGGTTAAATTCATTCAAATCCCATTATTTTCATCGTCGGTTGGTTGAATGCTTAATTCATAACCGACGCGTATTTTTAAATCAAACAAGGCTCACGGCGGCTCCTTTCACGCGGCAGTTCGGTCTATATGCAAATTTCTCGTTCTCACTCTTTCTCTCTCTCGGTCCCTTTCATATATTCAAATTGCCATTTTGCGCGGTGCGAAAGGAGGAAATATCGTTCGTTCATCATAATATTTCGCAAGCTGACTCCTCTCCCAAGCAGCTTTGGTTTGCCGTTCTGCAGAATTTCCTTCCGTCTGCGCGCCTCCGGCCACTCTGCGCGCTCTGTCGCCGGCGAAATCTCTCAGAGTGGCGTGAAAAAGTGGCGACGACGACGTCAGCTCATACTTTTTTTTAGACAAAAAAGAAACGGCGAAACGCCGAGGTAGTTGTCTCGAGTGTCACTTTGAGTAATGCACCGGTGCTGCTCAACAACATTCGTTCACGGCAAGGTTGAGGTGAGTTGCGAAATCGGATCATTTTTTTTCTTTCCTTCCCTATTCTCCACTAAATTGCGAAATGGAAAACCTCAGTCTGTACATTTCGTGCTAAAAATATAGTCCTTTGACGAAATAGAAAAAGCCAATAATTGAATGGTGCGATTATTGTTGACTAACCCCAAGTTAAACAATGACGAAAACGAGCATTGTACTTCTAAATTGGAGTAGGGGAAGGGAGGGGGTAAAATGTTCAACCCTTTAAATATAAAATAATATAAAAAAATGGCGCCTAATTCACTAGATTTTTAATTTTAATTCACAATTTTTCAATTTATAAAATTTAATAAAATCATTTTTATGTTTAAATTTATATTTATATTGTTAGGAAAATCAATACCGATATGAAAATATTGGAATTTTTATGATAATAATAAGTGTAGAAATTTTTAATGCAATTTTGTGAAAATTTTAGATGTTTATGGTGATTTATGGTAAGCTAAAAGAAAAAAGTAAGCAAATAAAAATGAAAGTCTCTTGCTTTGAAAAACTTCGAAGGGTTCTGATTAATTTTGAGGATTCGCTTCAGGGCCAAATGATTTTCTCTCTTATGAAAAATTCCAACCCGACTTCTCAGTCAGGGCGCTCCTTCGCACGCAGACGATTTCATCAGGCGAATTTAATAACCCGGATCGCTCCGTTGGAAAAACGGGCGACGCTTTCCCATCTCTTTGCGCACAACATACCAAAGAGTTATAAATGACAAAAAAAGTAATGGCTGCAAAAAATAAACTGAACCGTCACGAAACAAACGCCCATTTACCAAACTTTAACTTCAGCGGGTGGAAATTCCACGAAAAGGGGACGTTAATTTAACGAGCGGAGCGTGGTGGGTCCACTAATTAATTGCTCCTTGGCAGCAGAGACGTGTCACCCCGCCGTCCAGAAAGAAGAAGTCATTTTGCTCAAACGTGAGCAGAAATCGCATCGTGGATTTTCACTTGACCGGGCGCGGCCGGCACTTCTCCGGGGACTCTTCACATTGGAACAAAAACCGAGAGAAGGTTTTCCATCAAAAGCGCCACACATGCCCTTAAAGAAACTGCGGGCTCTTTTGTTGCATCTCTCTGCCCTGCTTTTATGGGCAGCTCTTTTCGAGCTCGCAATTCTCGAGGCAACTTTCTTTGCTCCTGGAGACGAGTGGTGCCGCTGAAAACTTTTGCCGCGTTAAGCACGGCCCTTGGCCCCGATATAGAGAAAATAAAGTACGAGAGCTAGACCTGTTTTCTTTTCCGCGGGCGGCCGGGTCATTTACAAAGAGCTCTCTCTGCGCCTTGCAAAATTCATACCGTGTCTCTTGAGTGCCGCAAATGGAAAAACTTTGCTGATAAAAATAACTGGTGAAAATGGCTTTGTCCCTCGGTGTCGCGGACATATTTCTAAATTTAAACTTTTATGAAAAATTTGGGGTTCTCTAAAAGTATTTTTTTATGTACAAATAACTCGAAACTGACCAATTTCGCTGAAATTAGTTCAAAACACGGTTTTGTTTTGTTAATTGGGATTTATAAATAAATTCATCACCCACGGAAGTAATTTTGTATTTTGTTTAAATTACAAATTTTTATCTCTATGCATTTTTTATTTTCAATTTTCGTCATGCCAGATTTCCCTTGGCATAAGCAGGTTGTTGTTTGTTGTCTCTCTTGGAAGTGAACAGGGGTAGTGAAGCGAGTCCGAGCAAGTTAGGGCAGCCGTTTGTCATTGTCATCTTCTTTGCATTTATGCAGTTCACCCTCCCTGTTGGATCAAACATAAGTTCAAACAAGCAACACGTGCGATGCAAAATAAACGCCTCATAGGCAACCCGCATGACCCGTCCGTCACACTCGGTCAAGTGTTTGGATTCTCTCTCGGTTGAGAAAGAAATTTTACACAAACTCCTGTAGATTTTTATTTTATTTATTTATTCTCCATTTTCTTAATATTTTTCATTTGCTTTAATTATTTTATTTATTGAAGATTTCTTTTTTTTTAAATTTGATAAATACAATATTAGATTTCATTGTTTGCATTATAAATTACTATTGAGCTCACCTTTTAAAATGAAACTAAAAAAATCCGTGAATAAAATAGTAATTGTGCATTAAATTATATTTTAATCACTAGATTTAAAAAAAAAATTGGAAAAATTTAAATTTGCAAATTAAATTCAAAGTTAAAGAAAACTAAAATTATTCGAACTTTGCATATTTTTCCAGAACAAGTGGCGATGCAGCATTTGTCGGCGCCGCACGCAAGGCCGTGGGCAAACGCAGCGAACGGCGTCGGCGAGCGGCGCCCTCGGCCTCCAGAGCGAAAATTCGGCGGGCGACCTGCTGGAGCTGCCAGGCGGTCTTCAGCGGCGCCACTCGGACGTCAAGATCGGTGCCGGTCAGAAGACCGAGGCCAACAACACCAAGGTGCTGGACATCCCGCGGTCGCCGGAGCTGCGACGCCACTCGGACGTGTCGCCGGCGTCGCTTCGGGAGCTGGAAAAGGTGGCCGGGGAGCACAGAGAGGAGCTGCGCTGGGAACGCGAGATGGAATGGCGCGCCGAACAGCAACAGGGTCGTCTAGTGCAGCGCCGCGGCGGCGCCAAATTCATCGTCGGCGACGATCCCAAATCTTCAGAGAGCTCCATTGATGATGACACCATGACTGAGGTCTGATAATATTTTTTATTACATTGTTATATTAGATTTATCTAATTTTTAATTTATAAATTAAAAATTCGTAAAATTATTTTGCCCCGAAATAATCTAAATTCAACTTCAGGAAACCATGGCCTATTTATATGTTTTACAAAAAAGTTACAATTATTAAAAAAGATGGATTTAAGTAAACCTCAAGAGTTTGTGATTATCCTTAAAAATTTAATGCTAAAGCAACAGGACACATAATATATATGGATTTTTAATCAATAAATTCTCAAAAACTAAATTTAAGGGGATTTTTTATGTAATTTTATGTATGTACCTAATAATTTACGATAATTTATTATTGTTTATTTTACTCATATAGAAAATTTAATTGATAAGGCAAAATATTTGAGCATAATAATTTTTTTCTGATAATTAAAATCAAATTATTTGTGTCAAGTAAAAAAATCATAAAATTAACCATTTTGGGTTTGTTATAATATTTAAGGAAGAGGCAGAGTGGCGACGTCAGCAGTCCCAGCGAGGCGGTAAAGGAGGTGGTTTCGGAGGACAGTCGCCGCGGCGCCGATCCAGGGCGATGCAGCGCCAACGCAGCTACGATGACGAGGACCAAACACTCAGTGCACAGCCGCAGTACGAACTTTCTCGGAGAGCGTCTGCGTATGACGTTTACCAGACGGCAGGAATGGCCAAGGTAGGTCCAAAGGTGTATATTGAACTTTTTAACATTTCTTGGTGTCGCTTTTTTTTTTACTTTTTGTCAATCAATAGTATGAAAGGTAAAAATTAAAATCTGATCACTTTTCTCTGTTGCATGCCCTATTTGTTTTCAAAATTTTTTATATATAATTTTGTAAGGTACTTTTGATCAAGAAATTTCGTTAACCAACAATTTTCTACCAATTTAAATTATTAAAAAAGTTTATGTTGATTTGACTTTGCCAGAAGATACTCATTCAAAAACAGTTTTGATTAAAAAAATTGAAAAATTTGATGTGTGTGGTGTTTTTTAATTGTGCTGGGTTCCTTTTGCAATTTATGTAAATTCCAATTTTTCTCCTACGGAATATAATTAACTTGCCTGTTAATTTTTCCTGTTAAAGATGGTAGAGGCGGGAGACAGTGGAGGTGGAAGAAGACCTTCATTCCGAGTTTCCAGCACGAACGGAACGACGGAGTCTGGAAAAAGTGGTGAGTTGCTGTCATCGAGATTGCGCTTTTATTTTTGTTAGAAGTTATACTAGACACCGGGTAATAGAATCAATCGTGAAGGAGAGCAAACTCATAAAAGTTCACCGCACTTTTCAAAGTAAAACAAAGGAAGAGTTAGATTACACAGTGCAATCGCTACTGTGTGGAGGATAAAAAATAGCTTTGCAGCGCAGTGATTGACAGAGTTGACAAACTCTCTGATTAAAGAACAAACAGCGCGAGAGAGACGTTTTTAATTTAACTTTTGCGCAGCAGCAACGGCTGCTGGAAAATGCAGACGCCAGAGAGAAAGAGCGATTCGATTTCCTTTCTGTCGCATAAAATTTGCATCGTGTACATACATTTAATATAACTCGAGCGAAATGTCGCTTTGCATCATTATTTCGCACAACAATAGCACGCGCCGGCACAAAGGCCTCGCATCGATTTGCGCCCGCCCAAAATGATGATAATGGTGTCTGCGTCTCTGTATCTGGTTACAACGTAATTGCATTCAGAGCCACACTGATGGCCACTCCGCAGACGTAGATAATTTGTACCGAGCTCACCGATTTGCCTAATGGGAAGCTGCTAAAAATAGAGAAGAAAAAGGCACTGATATGGTAGCAAAAGAAAAAAAAAGAAATTGTAAAATTTGATTTTAAAACTGGATGAGAGATTCGATCGGAAAAAACATGTAATCTTTTTCCTCTTATTTTTGTATCAATAAATGACGAAATATTAATAATTTTTTCCAGATTAATAATTTGCAATTTTTAACAAGAAAAAATTGATGGAAAACTCAATTCATCAAGGGAAAAGTCCAGTATCAATTCAAATAACTTGAAATTTACTTTTATTGGTTTTTGCAAATGATCGCATCTAATCGGTTCCCAGTTCCTTTGCAATCTTCTTAAAAAAAACTTCAAACTGGGATTTCTTCTTGGCTCATTTTATTATTTCTACATTTGTTTAAATCCTGATAAAATGATATTTAAAACTGTAGGGTATACAGAACTTCAACAATGTAAACAGCAATAACAATTGAATTGAGTTAATGCAAATGTAAAGAGACCTTAGACTTTGACCACCAAAAGCAATATATTACAGTAAATGTATGTATTATTTATAATTATCCTGATGGGCTGGAAAACTTTATAAGTTTACTAAACTTGTTGAAGGAATTTCTCGGAAATTTCTCACAACTTTACTCTTTCATTTAGGTAATTAGATCAACGAAGAGCTCTCTAAGTAATTTCCACTCGGAAAATTACTTATTGAAGTTCACTTAACTCTCCTTAAAATAGCTTTTAAAAGCATATAAATTTATTTTTGATCTCATTTGAACTGAATTTTCATACAATTTTACTCATTATATTCCAACCGCTTCAGTAAATTACTAATCCCAGAGGGGATATAAAACCTTCCAGCTCGTGTTGGCTCAATGATTTTGGGCCAATCAATCCACTTGGCCATTCTGATGGAAAAGCACTTCGTCAGTTCCGCAAATAAAGTTATAATGAGCAAACGGGGTTATTCGGAAAAAAGGAAAGAAAAACCGAATGTTGCACAAGACCCTTCTCTGTATGGCTCGATAAAAGCAGCGGGCAGAAGATAATCTTCTATTTGTGCGCACCCGGGCGATTATCGTCATCATCATTCTCTTGTTACACTTGCCCCCGTAAACGCGTGCTCGCATCCATCCACCTCGAATCCACAAGTATTAATAATCCGCATCTGCGAGGGCGAGTGGATGTATCACCTTCTTCGATTGTGACGTCATTCGTTTGCGGATTCTACGCAACCCGTATCTATATTAGCGGTAGTCGCTTGACGTCAGCCCGGCGTCGCCACTCAAACCCTCCTTTTTCACCCTGGGCGAAAATTATATGGTTGTGTGGGCTCAGATATTTGAGGCTTCCAATTTGCGATTTAATTAAAATTAGCCCAAGTAAACAACCTCTCTCCTGAGTAGAAACGAATCGTTCCTGAAAACAAAATAGAATGAATGAATTTGAGGTCAATGAACATAAATTTACTTTCAGGAAAAGGCATAGTGCCTGTCTCAAAGGAGCTTAATTTTTCTGCGAAAAGCTGCAAGGAAAGTCGGCATGAATAGAATGGAACTTTTGCTGTTTTCCTCTTTATATGGCTTTGGCAGAAAACCTAGAAATTTGTAACTCAATACGCTGTTAATTAGAAAGAATTTCCAAGAATTTTGAATGATATTCAGCTCATTAAACACGTAGCACGTGCGACTAAAGTGGTTTAATTTAATGATTTAATAAGCGGTGCACAAAAGACTGCTTCGTTTGAAGTTTGAATAATCAAAAATCAACACGGTCCCTTTTTAAAGTTTCAAATTTTTGTAAAATATCGATTAAAAAAGTTTATTTCTAAATAGAAAAAATAATTTGAAACTAGATTTTGATAAATTAAATTGCTGTAATTTTAATTACAAAAAAGATATTTTTCTATCGAGTATTTATGAGTTTTCCTCATTCGAATATTTCTATGTTCTTGCAGGTTTTGACAGTTCACCTTCTGACAACCGGCGGTTCCAGCAGGACGAGATGTCCGGCGGCGGGTTGGGCGTGGAGGACGACGGGCGAAGAGGTCGTCGACGCAGCTCCGCAATGTGAGTGATTATAATTTATGCCTCGCAAATGCTCTTTTTGAGGGTGAGATATCGCGGCTGGCACGGCGGATTTTCGGCTGTCAGAACCACCGCAAATGATCAGCGGCGGCACTCATTAAAATCAGCTCAAAAGTGTAGGGGTGGCGGAGCTCCAGCCACGGACTGGCGAACAAATTGGTCTGCAGAGTGGCGGCTCAAGGCTTTTGACCGCCTTTGTAACTAGAGGAGAGGATACGTTTAAATAAATCCCCGACGCAATTTCATTTACCAAAAGAAAATAAAAATGACTTATCATCTTTCCTCTCTTCAGTAAAAGAGTAATTAAGGGAAGCAGCTGTTAAAATCCAGATTTTTTAATTTTTTTTTCAACAAAAATATTGAGCTTTTAGTAAATTCCGAATTAATCTAAAACAATTATGTTTTTATTGTAAAATAATCATCCTTTGTTTTTTTTTTTACATTTTTACAAATGCTTTTTGAATATTTAATGAAAATAATCAATAAATAATTTCTTAAATCTCATTAATTTTTAACAAAACAAGTTGTTGAATTTGATTGTTTTTTACCAAATTAAATTTTCCGAATTATTCATTATTCGAATTTACAAAGCTTTCAACTTTTCCCAGATGGAGAAGAGGATGGATGGGGAGGTAAATTCTGCAATTCCAGTCCGTGGCTCTGCTCGCTGTGGGAGATGCAAATTTTTGGCGGCTCTCCAAAGGAAGGGGGGGCCGGGGTTTTAATAAAGCGCGCGAGCGGTGGCTGCTGCCAGAGCGTTTGAGCGACTCACTCGTAATTGACGAGACAACCCAGATAGAGACGCTAGATATGGAGGTCTGCTCTTCTTCTGGGGGCTGCCGCGGGGTGCAATGATGGGCTCGTGAAGATAACACGAGCAGGCGGAACTATGGAAGGCAACAGGTCCTTTCGCAAATAACTCACTCGCAGGCAAACAGAGGAAACACACGCCTTGCGATGCGAAACAAATGTTGCTTTTTCTTGCTAACCAGGTTATGTTCTTCCGCCCCCTTACACAGCGTTGGACGGCGGCTTACTTTGCCGCTTGATTGGGTCTCCGCCGCTAATGTGATTAGTCCCTTTTCGGTCTTTTGATGGCGTTCGTCTTTTGGCTCAAGCACCTGCGCTTGCCTGCCTGATTAATTAAAGCCGCTTACACTCTTGGAAATCTAGCGCAGGGGATCAAAACAAAGTGCGCAAACTGCTCTTTTGACAAACAAGTTTGCTTAATTATCACCGTTTGCGCCAAAATTGCGGGAGGGATCAAAGCGGCCCAAATCCCAGGCTAAGATTCCACATTTTTAAAACCTTCAGAAACGCTTTAATTACATAAAATAATTAATTACTTTAGAAAATATAATAAAGTTTTTATAGCCATGCTTTCGCCACAATTTCACATTAATTCTAATTTGAAAATTTCATTTATCTAAAATCTAAAGAATTTTTTTAAAATATTAACAAGTTTTAAAATAAATCAAGAGAGTTATATCAATGTTTACATTGCTTTCAAAAATTTAAAAACTAAAAAATATACTAATTTCGAAGCCAAATTGTTATCCGTAATTACCATTTTAGATGCCCGAACTGGTAAATTACTAAAATTTGTTTATTTTAAATTCTGAATTCCATAAATTTTAAAGAATAATCAGAATAATTTTAAAATCGCCATAAATTTTAACAATCTAGAATAGGCCGTTCACCATTATCCATAAAATTAATTTGTAACTCTTTTAAAATTATCAATATATTACAATTATTTTTTTTAGAATTTCATTTTAAACGGCTATAAATATGACATATTTGATACAAACCTAAATGTGCAACCGACCATTCTGTAAAAAAGTAAAATGCTTTCAAATTTTCCCAGTTCAGAGGGGCAGAATCAAATTTTCAAAGATGCGGGCTAAAGATTAATCCTTGGTGTTAGATCTGGACCGTTTTTCATTCTTCTGGTGCACGCTTCATTTCCCTTATGGCCTGCGCAATGCAGGCGACCGTGGCACATTCATCAGAGCGAAATGAGAAAGGAATTTTTAATAACAAGCCTTTTTCTTTTTTGTTTCAGCGAGGGAATGCGGGCGCTGCCTGCGACGCCGGCAGCCGGCGAGCGACGCGTGAGCGCCGTCCCGTCCCGCATCATGGGCGGCCCCGAAGTGGACAGTGCAGGCGAGCCGATTCGGCGACAGGCGTCGGTCACCGCTGGCGAGGACATCAAAATCGTCATCCACGACGTCGATTCGGAAGGTTCGTTTAATTGGCTGAAAATTGCGCCAAGAACAAAAAATTCAATCGCTCATTTTTAATTTAAATGCTAATTTTTGTGCTCGCAGCGGCCATGTCGCGACCAGGGACCAAAAGGAGGGTGATGCTCCGTCGAGATCCTTCTGACAAGGCGCACCGAAGTAAGTGCCACTTTCTATTTGCATACCTCTTGGGAGGCCAGCACGCATTATTTTGCAAATCCGGCAGCATGAAAGTCCCGGAACAAAACTCGCTACTTTCTCCAAGCCAGGTGCCTTTTAGCGCCACTTTTCTTACAGCTTTTTTATGCACTCCCAAGATCATCATAAAAAGTTGACAAATTAATTCTAATGAGCTAAATTGAAAGTGAAATACAAAACTTTGCCTTCAGAGAAAATGTTAATTTTAGTGTAATAAGCAAAATGTTATCTAAAAAAATTAATCTTTTTATCAAATTTGATTTTACAGAAGTTGTAATGAACAGCTTCTTATTTTTCATGCAAAAAGGTTTATTTATTCATTCTACTCAAAGGCATGACAAAATTGTAAAAAAAAAATAATATTTGTGTTCATGTGTCACTTTTCAGCAGGAACTTATTCAATAAAATTGAGCCTGAATATTTTTTTTAACTTTACCAGTCAATCTGATTTATTTATTTCTTATTTAATTTTAATCAGTTTCCGTTTTGTTCAGTCTGTTATCGACCGATTTTTTTTTTACTCAAAAATTTTGATACATAATATAATAAGAAAATCAGTTGAATTATATCATCCCATTTCTTTGCAATTTGTATTCTTTTGTTATAAAGAAAATTATATTCTGCTTCAATAACAACGTCCTTTGCTTGCTTTTATCTCCAGCGCCTTCTTTCAATTTTCAATATCAGGCGATAAAGAGTTTCTCTGAATTATATTATAGAACAGATCCTTTTGAAAACTCTCAAAGAGAGATATTATATTTTCCGTCACTCTCAGGCTGTTATTTTCTTATCTTGGTATTTCTTTTAGCACGAGGCTTCGGATTTAGGGTTGTTGGAGGCAAGAGCGGCTCCGACGGCCGACTTTTCGCCTACATCGTCTGGACAGTGCCTCAGGGCCCTGCGGATCAGGCTGGCCTGGTTCAGGGTGATAGGGTGCTGGAATGGAACGGCGTCTCGCTCATCGATAAGAGCTTCGAAGAGGTGTGCGCCGTGATGGACAGAACGGGAGACGCCGCGGACATCGTCATTGAACACTTTCCGGACATGTGAGTATTAAATTATTTTTACTCTCAGATAATCTGAAAAATTTAATTCAAAAGAGCTTAAATCTAAATTCAGTAATTTTATATCTTAAAATTTGATACATCCAGGAATTCAATTTTTTAGAATTCTTTTCATGCTGATTATCAAAAATTCATTGTTTTTATTTTTACCTTCTTTACTGACTCCGTATTTATTCAATCTTCAGAAATAATCTTGCTGCAAAAGTAGACATTGAGAAATTAACTTTTTCAACTAGTATTTTAAATATTTTTGCAAATAATTATAATGTATTTTCAGACTCTAAATCGAGTTAAAAAGTAATGCGCAGTTTCCTTTGCATCTTTCTCCAATGTTTTCCTTTCTCAGAATCACCAATATAAGCATCCATTCCTTATTCCTCTGAATCCCGAAATTCTTTTCGACCAAGTGATGTGTATAGAAAATAACTTGAGAACTGTTGCAATTCTGTGTGTAGGCGGATGACAGACCTGCTGGATGACATCAGTATGGCAGCAGCTGCCGCGGCCGGTCCCCGGAAAAGCGCCTCTGACGTCATGGGGCTGCAATTAGGTACGTTGTACTGACTCGCCAGGGACGTGAAAAAATTAAATACAAATTTTACTCGTGACCTCCGAAATAAATTTTTAGAGCCTCACCTCTGAACTTATATTTAAATGGATTTTCTTTCAAATATATATAAAAAATGTTTTGGGCCGTTTTTTTAATAGAGTCAAAAATAGAACAGCTCATTTGCAAGCTATCATCACTTTTGAAAGCAGCTTTGCAGCTCTAAATAAATTTTTGCTTTCAAAACGAGCGCAAATTAAAAAGCACAGCCAATTCCTTTTTGCTATAACCGCCCGCGTCTGCTTTCAGATAACGAGCAGGATAAAGGGCCCACTTCACCTACCAGGAGGAAACTGCCAAAAACACCGGTACTATAAAAAGCTCTTCTCTTTCTCTCATTTTTAATTTGCAAACCACGTGCATTTGGTCCAGAGGAAAAAGTGAAAACTCATATAATCTGGATTAAACGGATGATTTTTCCCTAAATCTTGTTTACGTATAGCGATAACTTTTTTTAATTTTAAACACGCGGGGAAGTGTGTGCAGCGAAAATTTTAAACTGTTGATAAAAGAAAGTCTTCCTTGGATATTAAAAAACCAAAGTGAAAAGTTGAGATTTTATATTAAATGCGATGAAATGAAGGAAAAATTGCATTATAATTATATCTCTTAATAATTTATTGTTCATTTCAACTTGGAAAAATGCCCCCTGTTATTATTTAGTTCGTTTGACTAAAAATTATAACTTATACTGATTGTAACACCATTATTTTCTGAATGGTTGTGTATTACTCTTCTTAATTTACATAAACCATGTTAATTATGCTTTTTTTCACGTCATAAAAGAGTAAGGAGTCCTAATTTGGTGAAGTATATTTTTTCCTGAGAAAAGTGAATTCTTTATGATTTTTACATCAATATTGTAATTCTGTTTCAATACATCTTAGAAGATTATTATCAGTTTTAAAAATTTTATGTTCAACCGTTTATAATAGTACATTTGATTTCTATTGGATTCCTAATGTAAAATAATCCCATTATTGTTAATCAGAAAAATTGTTGGTTTCGGAGATATGCAACCTGCGTGGCCAGTGTGTCGTGCGGGTTGCATCTCCTCAAATAGTGTAGCCAAATTATGAGTGTTACGAGCGAAATTTACTATAAAATCATGTCATGTGTAAACTTGGCTTTAAAGCAGCAGCAACCAAAATCCGTAGCAATTTGGTGTATTGGTGTGTTCCCGAATGTAGCGCTTCTCCGGAATTCGTTCCGCCTTTCCAGGCACCAGATGTGCCCCGTCGACGTTAATTGCTACCCGTCGCCGAGTTCACTTTATCAAGAACTCTCTCAAGACTCACTCGAATCCTTTAATTGTCGTGAATTTCGCACCTGGGCTTACGCAGGCACTCATATCTCGACTGACTTATGATCTCTCTTTCTGAGAAAAGCAAGCAAATCGTAACATAAATCAATGCAGAGAACATTTTGTTCAAACGTTGAGAGCTTCTGCAGCGATTTATGGACTGAAAAAGAATATATAATTAAAATAAAATTATTAGCGTATCGAATCAAAGGACGACTTCACCATAAATACCGATATTTGAATTATTGAAATTAATTTTTTTTTTCTCAAGTTGTGAAAATTAACCGTTTAATTAAACTTCAGCTTTTTAAACGTTAATTTTGAGGTTTGTTGAAAGGGTCCTTTAAGTTTGCAAACAATCTGTGCAGTAAATATTTGTAAACCAGAGGTAGTTAAGTCAGATAAATGTGTGTTTGGTGTTAGTTGTTCAACAGAAACAGATGCCAAAGCTTAGGGTGTAGAGAGTGCCACGCATAAATAACGTTCTTGTCTGTGATAAATGTGTATCAAAACTGTCACCGTTAATCAAAACGCTGTCTGAACTGCGCTGTATGTCACACACTGCTCGCATTCCTATTTAAATAACCAATGAGAGGATTAATTTATCAAAATTGGGCTTAAAATGATGTACGAATTTCACACAAAAAAAGTCAGATTTTTGTGACTTTGTGTATTTTTCTATTTGCTTTATATTTAATTCCCAAATATTGTTAGCTTTACACAAGTCCTCGCAGTCTATTTTTGCCTCTCAAGTCTGTCATTTTATCTTGCCCTGGTATTATTTTCCGTCCTTCCAACAAGTGGTGTTTGTTCAAACTTTTGAAAGCGGCTTATTTTCTACGCCAGGTTTTTGTTATTCAAACTCATACTCGTACATACTCGGCCCTCTTTGTTTATTTTCCCTCTGCTGCCCACTCAGAGTTGGATGAAAGAAGGAAAGAGAGCTATTATTTCTTGTTCACCTGCTGTGAAAAAAATTAGACAAAAATAATATCTGCAGATTGTGTTTTCCCCAGCGGACGAAAAAGCATGTCACTCCGAGAGAAAAAGAAAATAAAGTGACAGCGCTAATTTTAGAACAAAGCTCGTCTCATTAAGAATTTTCCCAGAAATCAGTCGAGAGAGAGCCATCAACTTTTAAAACTCTGTCCCGATCGGCGGGCGCCGCAATTCATACTTAGCCGCTGTACAATAACGATTTTCTGCTCAGATATTTTCCCGATCGTCCACTATGTAATTCAAACAGAACTGAGCATCCAACCAACATCCATGCCATCTTGAGTGCGCCGCTCACAACTCATTTTTATGTAGGTCACGTTGCATGTGCCCCGATCTCCTCTTACTGGGGCGCACACCACCTGTGGTCCTGAATTGCTAAACGGACCGATATTGCCAATTTTTTTTTTAATGTGTCTCCATTTCCGCAACAGCCTCTGACGGCTCATCAAATTTCAGGAGCAGCTCGCGCGCGAGAAGACCGTGAGTGGTCGGGTTCAGATCCACGTCTGGTATGTGGAGGAAAAGAGGGAGCTGGTGGTGTCCGTGCTGGCTGCGGACGATCTGGCGCCAAGAGATGACACTGGCTACGGCAGCCAACCTGAGGCCTACGTCAGACTTCAAGTCACAAATTTGTAATAGAATTTCTTAATTTATTCAAATTTATTTTCAAGTTTGATATATTCGAATGAAATAGAAAATAATTAAAGATAGGAAAAATAGGTCAAATTTTAAAAGTACGAAAAATTAGGATTCATTCGAAAATTTGAATAAGTTTTTGGGATAAATTAAAAAGTTATATGGATTAAAATTTTAAATAAATGGATTCAATTAAGTAACTTTGAACATTTAAAGCCTGTATCTGATCTACGTTTTAACCTTAACAGGAAGGAGCCCAAGACACTCAAGACTGATGTGGCAGAGCCAACTCATAACCCCATCTGGAACGCGACGTTCGAGATCCCTAACGTTCCAGCGGAGAGCCTCATGAAAATGAACATTGACATTTCCATGTGGGACTACTGCCCTGACAGAGATAGCCAATTTCTAGGTATGCCCAAAAATTAGATGAAACAAATAAATTATTATTATATAATATTTTAACTTTGGTGTAATTAAATTAGTTTTAAATAACATTTAAACTCTTATTGTCTTTTTTTTAGTGAAAAAGTTTATGTCTAATTTCACAAATTTAGGAGAGTGCACGGTGGAGCTGCAAAAAGCGTTTCTCGAGGACAGACCCAATTGGTACCGCCTCGAGGACCAGCGCCAGCTGCGATTCAAGTCGCCTCATGTGTCCCCGAGGGGCTCGCTGGCCAACCCTGGCACTGCGGCCAGGGAAATTGCTCAAAGGCTGCTGAGGAGGGGCGACTTTACACAACAACGCTCTTACTCAGGTACAAAAAAAAATGAGTCCATGGGATATTTTGCTCCCGAATAGTTCCTTTCCTTCCTGCATCAGGGACAAATAAGCCCTAATTATTCCCGGGAATACCCACTGTTCAAAGAAATTCCCCAGAGCTGTCCAGAAAGTACATTTATTATTATTATTTTACAAAAGTGTTGGCAAATTTGTGAAAAACGTTGTTCGGTTAATTTATTTACAGCAAAATTCATAACATGATTTTTTCTATTTTTTATTTTTACATTTTACCTTTTTAGATGACAAAGACGATGAGACTGCCGGAAACGTTTCGCACTCGTCGAGCGTGGAATCAGGACTCCTGCACCCTGACCATGCCTACGTTGGAGGGTCACGCCGTGGATCATCCCAGTCGGAAACCCTGGAGGTGGACACTTATCAGCTTGGCAGAGACTTTTCCAGGTCTTTGCCTGGCTCGAGAAGAAGCTCCTTCCAAAACTCAGAGACTCAAAAAGGTAGTGAATTTAAAAATTAATTATAGATTCAGCATCAACAAAATTTGCAGAGGAACTGGGTGTGGGTTACAGCAGGGAGCGGCGACGCAGTTCCAGTTCTCGGGGTGGCGCCGTCATGGGCCACTACGAGCAGAGGGAGGAACTGATGATTGGTACCAAGGCAGGCGTGGAGTCTTCAGGTGCAGGTTTATCCAGAACCCTGAGCTTAAGCCAAGACAAAAAGCCAGCGCGAAGTAAGTACCATTCCTCTATGATCGAGTTTGTGCTGCAGGTGATGCGAAATGTTTTGGTATTAATTAATGAGTGGCTGGAATGCGTTCTTTGTCCCAACAATGGACAGCGATTTTATCTTTTCTGCATTTTGCGAGAGCACTCAGAAATATTGGAACTTTAATATGATTCTCTGCACTCTACCTTTTTAAACGATAACACCCCTGGACTGGATTATAAATGAGTGTCTACACACACTCTTTTTTTTTTATAAAATCTTACTATTAGAATTATCTTCCTACATTTTTATCAAATCGGCGCATGGAAATTATCAAAAATTTCAATAACCAAGTTTTACAATAAATATTTCCACTATTTTTTCATTATGAGTTATATAAAAATATAATTTCTTTTTTTATTAATGTGCATTTTTGAGGAATACTGATGGACTTACACTATTTGGATGAGAAACACAAAATCATTTGTACATAATATAACTGAAACATGCTACTCTTTATCTCTCACTGTCCGACGTGACATGTAAATAATGTTCCAATGATACACTCGCATTACATGTGACGTGGAAAGTGCACATATCCTTTTTCACCGTCAGTGAGACTTAATACACTTCCCTCACATCCATGTGTTTGATGTACACACAATGAAAAATAAATATAAGCTTCGCAAAAACATTCTAAAAATAGCAGCACCTCTCAGAGCCAAGCATAGCCTCCCGCCTTGAATATAAAAAAAACCATACACACCTGACACATGTTATGTTTGTGCATCGCCCTTTTGTTCTTTCTCAATGCAATCTAGGTGGGAGTTTGGACCAGGCATTGAACCAGATGCGGTCTCAGAGTCTCACAAGACCCCCTCTCCTTCGCACGACCCGATCGACTAGCAGAGATTTGCACAAGTCTTAATAGAGTAAGTTTGACTCTCGTAATTAGAGTTGGATTTCAAAGACCTTTTTAGAGAAACATAATTAGTCTGTTACGCCACTTTAAAATACTTTCTGGATTCAGCCGAAAAGTAAAGGAAATTCTAACAATCTCGTCATCTCGCTAAGTGGAAGGAAAGCTTTTCATTTAAATCTCTCATGAAACACTTAAATTAAGTTTAATTAAAACAAGATTTTTCACTAAAAATGTTTTAGCATCTAAAAGTTGGTGCGTAGAATGAGAGAATTTTATAGCGCCATTAAATTTCACTACAGAAAATGTTTACGTAATATATTAATAAATTATAAAAAAGTAAAAAGTCAATACATTGCGTCTTCATCTATCATTTATTACTATTTTTTTACGTTGATAGACCGCGATAGGTAATATATAAATTTAAAAAATGAAATTATTTTAAATTTTTTAATTTGGCGTTGAATACATGAAAATATTTACAGGTATGATTTTCATTGATTAAATATTGGAAAGAAATCACTCGCTAAAAATTAAAATGCTAAATTAATAATATCAACTTCCCTTCCACTTGAAGAGTTGGTTGACTTCTACCAACCATACTTGAGCCTCCTAATTTATTTTTTAGAATTTTGGTAACGTTTTAATAATGATTGAAATCTCAGGTGCAATTATCTCTGCGTTAGTTTTTCATTCTGCAAAAGAAAAATTGAAAAAAAAACCATCATAAAAATTGCAAGCGTTTTTCTCTCTGGTCTCAAAGAATGCCGCGCTCTCCCTCTTGCCTCTTGACTGTCGCTACACTTTGCATGACGTGCTGGAAAATGTCAATGGACAAAAACCTCAGTCACGAGTACCCCTTGTCGTCTCATACATTTTTTATAACACACATGCGAAAAACGCAATAAATGTTTAACATTCCGTGTGAATAAAAGAGGAATTGCAGACTGAAATATTCATGTTGCTTTTGTTCAATGTGAGAACATGAATATATTTGTATTTGTGTGTTTTTACACTGAAAAAAATTATACATTTATATAAAAAAGCGGACCGAAACGAGTTAGAATTTTGCATGAAAAATTCTGGCTCGGCTAAGTCCGGCTCTCTGTTAAAAAATTCAAAGGGAAAAACACGAAGTGAGTTGGAAAATTCGTTCTTTAACATTCTGTTTTCTCTTTCCCCTCTTTTTAATTCTTTCACTCTCCTGCAAATCGCGTGGTGATGCACACAATCCAAACAAAAACCACTACATACAAAGCTGGCCATCTGTAGTTATTTAATTTACCAAGGTAAGTCCCATCAGAGACTCAGTGTTTGTGCTTGTCCATCATGTGTCCGGATCTGTGTTTGTCTCTCGTTTAGAAAAAGTAGGCGAGCCTCGAATAAAACATACATTTTTCCCTTGAGCTACTTCTCTGTATACAATTGCAGTGCCAGGGTAGTGCCCTACTTTTAGATTCGTGTAAAAATTTTCTCATAAAATCTAGAGTAGAAATCTTTCATTGCGTATAGTCAGCAACTTTTGGCATGTAGAGCACTCGATTAATCAAAATTGATCCTGTTTTTCAGCTATGCTTAAAATTTTTGATCTAGAAAAAAAAACATTTTTTAACATATTTTTAATATTGTGTACTTCAATTGTGGCAGGTGTGGATTTCATCAGTGTGTTTAGAGCTCTGTGTGTTTTCATCAATCATCCCTACCTTCATTAAACTGTTTTTTCTTAGCAGAGAATCATCTGAACTAATTTAAAAGCTAGGAAAATTATAAATATCTGTTTACCATTTTGCTGAGATTAAAACTACGTTTGCAGGAATTACATATATATAATTCAGCTCTAATTGTGTTCTAGAAAATGTTTACTGTAGTTTCTGTTAATAAGTATGTAACTAAAAAATTGAAATTCGCTCTAATAACATTTAAAAAATTCTTAATTAACAAAAATCTAATAAATGTTATTTCATTAGAGTTATCAAATTTAAACCAACCAACAAGTTAAATTTATAGCAAGAAGAAAATTTCGCTTTGAATTATTTTACATTTGGGCGATTGAATCTACAATTTCCTACTTCATCACAAAAGCCTAAAAAACACAATCTAAACCCTCTATGATTCTTAATCGATAATACACAATAATCGATGTTTAATAAAAATTCACAAAATCAGATGAATTCGCTCGTAAAATATCATTTTTTGTGTCGTAATCAGCCCCTTTTGCTTAAAATCGAAGCGTCCACAGGAAAGCATTTTTTAATTTTCAGGACCTTCTCGCTACGCCCATGACATTCTAACAGGGGCAGCTGCAGTTTTAAGTCGGCTCGATCACCCGGAGCGGAGGAAGAGCTATCGCAGAAAATCGTCCGTTGGGTACAAAATTAATTATTTATGTAATATTAAATATTTAAATATGGTGTTTGAAATTTGAGTTTAAAAGTGACTGATTCCTTACTTAGTTTTTTTTAGTTTTGTCAAATAAAGCATGTAGATCAGGCTATATTCAGTAATGACTAATGGGCTAAAAAGCCATCAAAGAAAAGCCGATTATAAAATCAAACACCATAAAATATTTTTTTTATTTAAAATCAGAAGAAGCCACTTGCAATGGGATATATAATTAATTATAATCTAGACTAAGTGATTAGTTCAGCTACTTAAGCTACTATTGAACTATAAATCAACCCTTGGATCGTCAAATTCTTCTAAAAATATTTATTTTAATTTCAAGGGGGCCTAAGAATTTCGAGGGCAACGCTGAAGGCGACACACTCATTCTCGGGCCGGGGCAGATCAGACCAAGGGGCTTTATGATCGCTCAGTTGGCTGGTAAGAAACTGCTAAAAAGGAATCAACCATAGAATTAAAAAGAAGGAAATTTGCCTGCAGGTGGATACGGCGAGATAAAAATTGCTCTGCTAATGACCAAGGGGCAGCTTGAGCTGGAAATCGTCTGTGCCAAAGGCCTGAACGCAATAAGCAGAGGAGATTCAGCCCCAGGTAAGAAGTTAATATTGTAGAAATAATGACGAATTAGAAATGATGTTTCAAGGTGTTGTAAGAGTAGGCAACTCGCTAAGCACGGGCATAGAGCAGGTTGCCTACTTTAAAATTTAGTTTCAAATGAATGTTTATTGGGTTCAAATGAGGGCAACTTCAAATGAGCAAAATTTAATATGCCCTCTCGTTAAATATTTTAAATTTAAAAAGAGATGAGAGAACATCATATTTTTTAAGAATAATTTTTTTATTTTTAGATTCTTTAATAAAATTAAAAAAAAATATAATCAAATTATAAATTACTCCAGATCAATTTATTATGATTGTTAACTTATATTAATTGTTTTTATCTTCTGCCTTTTCAAATTGATTTTTAATAACATCAAATAAAAATATGTCATTGAAAATTTTCTTTTTAATTTTTAGATACATATGTGAAGTCCTATCTAAAGGACGGCGACCGGTGGCTTCAAAAGCGCAAGACGAGGGTCTGCCGCTCCAGCTACGACCCCGTTTACAACCAGAAACTTCGCTACAACGCGTGTGACGTCCTGGGCCGAGTGCTGATCATTATGCTCTGGGAGCGCCAGAAGGGCTTCGAGAGCAACCAGGGCCTCGGCGGCGCCGAGATCGCCCTCGACAAACTGCAGCTGACCAACGCGACCAACGCTTGGTACCCCATTTTCCCGATGAACTCGCTCAACGGTCTCGACGAGCCGCTCATCGACTCGCCGTGAACGCTGGGCGCGCTCTAAAAAAATATCAATCTTCTCTTGAGCAGCAAAATAATCAAACGTGTTTTCCATGATTGTTGAAAAAAATAATTTTTTCTGGGTAGAAAGCAGTCGAAAGTGGAAGAATGTTGTTGTCGTAGCGAAGCAGCCTGAATGAGCTGTGCTCTGTTTTTGCTTCACTGGTGGCTATTGAATTTAAGAAATTCGGTCCGAAATATTTTGTTCACAGGCTGTTGATTCAGCTTTTCATGTAAGTATTTTCGAAATGAGATGAACCTGTCGACTCCGAGTGTATAGAAACAAAATATTGTGATAGAATTTTGTGACAAATTTCCCAAATGTTATTTTCACCTTCCTCTTGAAAAGCTTTTCTAAAATGTTTATATATTTGTGTGGGCCTTTTTCAACGTTTTCTCATGGCGTGTATTTTAACTCAAACAAAGTTCAAGAAGTAGTGTTGTTGTTAGATTTCAATGATCTCTTTAAAAGTGGAAAAGTGTGTTGAAGTAACTAGCGGAATAGTAGCATTCGGTGTGGTAGAAATGAGCTCGGTGTTGAATCCTCTCCCTCAAATCACCCCTGTTCCATTTTATGTATAATACAAAGGGGTGCACTTACGGTTGATGCTCAGGGAGTTGTAACAAAGCGATGAAATTCCGGTCTAAAAGTTCTCTGATCTTCCTTCCAATTTGATATTGTTTGCATTTTTTACATTTAAAACGGCTGTTTGTGTTCACGCAATTTTGGAAGCTTTGATAAAATACAGCCATGTTTGATTGTTTTCTACTAAACTGCCACACAATTACTCATCTATAATAATTTCACTTAGCATTATCTCAATCATTGCAAATGCTTTTGGTGTCAAAAATTTAATTATATGAATGACAATCTCTTCGAATCCTTTCATGCTAAATCAAAACAATAATAAAACGATGACTTATATCAAGGAAAAATCGCACCGTTAATAATTGCTCACTTTCTTTTTGGTCATTCCGTGTTCTTTGGATTTTTTTAAACAATTAGTATCAAAATCAATTTATTTTAATATTGGAGTTTTGTTCCTGAAAATTGTAAAAACTCGAAGAAAAATGTAGCTTAATTCTTAGTGAGCTTTCCTTTTATCCATATAATTATATGGAAACAAAATAATTTTTCTTTCAGTTCCTTCATATAAGGGATATGAAATTAGAAAAATTTTTTTTTTTAAATATTTCCTTAATTAAAAATTGGTTTAACCAACAAAGAAATTTTCACTTCAGTGGACGCTCTCAATCTCATAAAGAAAATTCCAGACAGTAGGCATCAGCAGGCCACTGTTTAGATAAAAAATTCATCAAGCCACTCTAGCATGTAAAATTACAAAAGTTCTTCCTAACAAAATATCATTTACCTGAGCTAAAATTCTGAAATCAATGATTTTTTAATTAATATTCATTTGTTCTAATTTTTACTGCATTTCGAAATTTTATTCACATTGCAATTCATATCTAGGTAGGGACGATTTAAAAAAAAAGTGACTTAACTTACTTTAAATAACCAAGGGTGCTTTTCTTTTTACCTGGGAGATATATTTCCAATTTGATCGAATTTTTACCGCAAATACTTTGGAAAGAGAGGGGGTTTTTATTCAGGTCAGTGGAATTATTCGCTTAAAATTTTAATGATATTGACAAAATTTTGAATTACTAAATTGCGAAATTATTTGATCTACAGGAAATCATATCTAGAGGCTAACCAGAAAAATAGGAAATACTCTTGGTCGTTTAAATTAAACTGCTGGTGTTGTGATTATTTTTTCTTTTATATCAATTTATAATTGTTTAGAAACAAAGCAAAAATTTTTATCGCTTTACGTTTTTGATGATGTTACAAAATAATGCTTCACGTGATGAATAAAAATTATCTCTCTCGATATGTGATATTCAACTCTTTAAAAACGACAAACGTGGAATTTCCAACACTCAAAATGATTGCTACTTCTGCTGTTGTCTCATTGGTGTATGTCAAACACGCGTTTCCGTATCATTTTCCGCTCTTCTACGTGCGCAGATAAAAAATAAAAAAATAATGCACATTCTCGTGTGACTCGGCATGATGGTGATAAGCATACAAATCTCTGTTATCTCTCTTGTAAATGAAAAAAAAACACGATTCAATGAGTAGATCTATGGGTTGTATGTTGTGGAATATTCATATCCTTGCGTCTACAAAAAGCCAAACTGAAAAAACGTACATTTCTCTTCATATACATACATGTAAAATACGGTTCTTTAAAGACAAAAATGTTAAGAGACGAAGAATTAAATATTTTTTATCTCTATCTGATACATCTCATGTTCTGCAAAGACGTTGTACTCATCCTTTTTAACGGCCTATATTTGCGAAAAGAGTGCACAAAAATCTATTATTGTATATCAAATTATTGTGGGGAAAAAGTAGATCTCAAGTCGGTGTTATGAATATTGCTGTTGAAAAGAAATTATATATAAATCTACGAAAAAGTTGTTGTTTTTGCCGTTTTGTCTCTCTGAATACTAAAAAAAGGAGTACTACTAAAAAGGAAGTCGCTGACGCGCGTGTATGCAAAATTAATAGGCACAAGAATCGATTGGAAATAATTAAACGAGGAAGTATCTCTAATGAATGTTATCTCTGTAGAAAATAGGCTTTAAAAACAATTTATTGTAATTGGAAAATATAAATGAGAAACAAACACACTAAAAACGATTCCATTAAGAAATAGTTTCAATTTCACTTATACAAGGAAATCTAGTGTTAAGGTTATACATAGTACATGGTATGGAAAAATAATAGCCAGAAAACATATTGTTGTGAGAGAGTGAATTGAATTCTAAAATGTGAATCAAAATAAATCAAAATTTGGCTGATTAAAAACAATTGTTTCATTACCAAAATAATCATATTATTTGAAAACATAAACCTGGTTTTTGTTTTAAATATTCTGTTAAAATGTTTAATTGCCATATAATTATGAATTGATAAATTCAGGCGATAGATTCATGTATTGCCTTTACTTTGTTTATAAATTCTGATTATTTCACATTAATTGCACATCATAGCACATCATTAATTTAAAGCGCTAGATGAAGAAATAGAAATAATATAAATTCTGAGAAAAATATTAATTTGATTATATAGTTTATTTGAAAATACCTCATTCTTTAAAATTTGTATAATAGAAATTGTAATTTAATTATTATTAAAATTTAAATTAATACAAAAATTTAATAATTTAAATTAATATTTTTAACAATTTATCAATTTTAACATTTATTAATTTGATTATATAGTCATAATAGCTAATAAAAGCCTTGGGTTATAATTCATAATGTACTGTTTTTACCACATTAGTGGATATGGGCATATGGCTACTGTATATTAACAAACGCGACCTTTCCATTTTGCAAATAACGATAGTTAATTCAAATTCCCTAGATTAATAAATTTCTCTTTGTTTTATGTATTTTTAATAACGATATATATAGAAATCTGTGTCTGCGTTCAAGAATTTTAAAAACTGGCTCCATCAATGAATTTACTTTGGCAAAGTTTGGCAATCCTTAAAAAAGGGAGGTATAATGCAATCGTTTCCAATCAATTTTTCGATTTACAAAAAAAAAGGACTTCTTCAAAATCTAAGTTCAATTATGCTGCGTATATTTTTAGGAGGAGAGGATTCTGGAAGATATTGTTCTGGATGCGATTATTGGTGCACATTAGCAAATTTGCCTACTTTTTTTTTTAAAATCGTTTTATGAAATTTAATATTTTCGTAACAAAAATATTAAATTTGAGTAGCTATATGCTTTTTGGCAGAGAAGTAGGGTAATAATTAATAAAATAAATGCATGCACAGGATAACTCTTTTTGAGACAATAACAAGTGTTGCGGTTAGCGCATCTCGTTTCCTGTGATAAATAAAAATTTCAAATTTCAAAATAATAAATTCGTAACAGCTCAAGGCCTTTGAGTCAAGGGCATCTTGTGGGCCATAAAAATATCCGCACAAACAACTTTTGAAGGCATGTTTTTACCACAAAATATTTTGTCCTTGGTGCAGAGGAAGAATTCTGCGGATTTGACTTTATTTGACTAGTTATAAAAGGTGCCTCAAATCCAGAACTCCTTCAGCTGCTGTCATAAATACTGTGGTAATAGCCTTTAATATTTTTGTTCTCTGCCATATTTGTTAATCAATGAGTGGTCCATTTTTCTCTCGAATTTGAAAGTAAATTTAATTTTGTCAAGTTTTCTTTTTGGCATTGAGGCTTCATTGCCAAAACGCTGACAATTTTGTTTGGCTATTTTTTCTGACAGAATCGATCAAATTGGCGACCAAATTAAAGCTTAAGCTTAAATTAAACCACTAAAAATATTTCGAACCATCGGCAGATTTTGCAGATTTCTCACTAACACTGACAAATGATTTACAGATCATCTGTTTGTGTCAATCCACCCGATTTTCATCAAGGAAATGGCTAAGCTTGTGAGTATTTTTTAAACTCCAATCTCTCCCCAATTACTGTGTGTATTTAATATGAAAGACACATGCTAAATTCCAAAGAGAAGAATTGAGCTTTCAGAATTCCTAGGAAAAGTTATGAGCTAGAGGTCATTATTAAAAACAAACAGTCTATTAAGAAAAAAATCAACTTAACTTTACCCTCTTAAAAAGGAAATTATTATGAAAAAAATCTTAAAAAATAATCAATTTATGGATCATTTGGAAAGTTCACATTTCTTCAGAGGCACCGATAAATATTTTTTAAAAATTTCTTATCAAATAATTTATAAAAAATTTCACAAAATTGCAAACAACCTCACATCAAATGTCTTATATCTTATTCCAATTTTTATTTTTATTAAAAATTAAACATGTGTACCTCTTATCCAGATTTAATTAATCGTGCTAGTTTTTTTAAAGTCTCTTTGTGACGCGTTTTAAAATATTTCAGGTGCTTTTGTTGGCCGCGGTGATGCTGCTCGCGTTGGTGGCTGCCCAGGACGATGATGACCTGGCGGTCGCTGAGCGGGCAGAGCAGGTGAACGAAGCGCTGGATTCTGATGAGGCGCTGGTTAGGGAGGTGCGCCGAATCCCCCGACGCACCAGGAGACCAATTGCGACACCAACCCCTCGCTGGACAGTTTGGGTCTAATGGAATATTTATTAATTATTTTTGACTGATTGGCATAATTTTTTTAATAGTATGAAAATCGTTTTAATGTGCCAAACATTCGTTTAAAAATACTTGCAAATTTTGTGATCTCAAATTAATTTTAGTGAAAACAATATTTAAATAAAAAATTGGATTTGGTAAAAAACTTGATTTTCAATAAAAATTACCTGTTAGTTATAAGAAGATTATTACAATTTAAAAACAATTGAAAATTTGGCTGTGAAAACAACACAAAATGCATATTATTTGATGGCTTGGGCTATGCGCATTTATGCGCAACCTTATTATTTTTATCTCAATCAGTACCAAAATTTGTAAAAAAAGAAGAAAGGGTTTACAACTAGCAGATGTCTGCTGAAACATCAAAAGAGACTCAGGCAATGCGGCAAACTCACTTTCAAGGTTCGGAAAAATTTGATCAACTATCAAAGCCCTATAAATTTATATTTGGAAGTAAGCTGACGTTTAATACAGTAAAGAGAAATCAAAGGAAAAATTTTACTTACCTAATTAAATTAATTACAATTTTGAGTTTGAAAATTTAGAGTCACCAAAAATGACCTTGACCTTTGACCTAAAATTTTGAAATTGTGAAAACAATTGTAGAATTCGCTGAGACGAGTTCAGCCAAAACTCCTACCGCACTGACTTTTCTGTTAACATTTTTTGCTTTTGTTATTCCCAAGGAGATATATAAAGTCTGTTATAAGGTACATAAAACTATTAATTTATTTGATCCACATAATAATTATTGAAAAATACAGATTGTATTTATTATGATTTTTGCCTTATGAAATTACAGTCGTTAAGTTCTGTTTAGAAGCAAAATAAATTAAGGCCTTTCATATTTTTTCAATCAAAAAATGTTACTCTCCTCTCAATTGTTACTCAAAAAAGTTTGTAACGAGGACGTCTCGTGGATGGTGTTTTTTGCCCACCACCTCGTCCACTATGTGCACCACTATGTCCGCTGCTGTGTCCACCGCCATGTCCACCACCACGGCGGCGCACACGCAACAGACCCGGTGCCTTCTCAGCATCCAAGTTCACCTGCTCTGCCCGCTCATAGACCGGCAGGTCATCTTCATCGTCCTGGGCAGCGACCAACGCGAGCAGCACCACCGCGGCCAACAAAAGCACCTGCGAATTTTTCAAAACACGTCACAAAAAACATCAAATCTTAAATCTTTACATCAACAAGATAATAACAAGCATGTTCTTATAATTATGCTTAGTAACAATGGAACGCCGAAGAGATTGACGAATTTTTTAGCCAGCTCATGGATCTGAAAGATTTAATAATTTTTTTTATCTTTTTTAAAAATATTTATGTCTCCTAATCAAATTTTTTTTTGTCCAAGGGAAATGTGAAGTCAAAGAGACCGGTAATTTTAGGTGGAAAAAGGTGATTTACGTTGCTAATTTATTTTTATTTTTCATTAACCTCACAATTTTGGGAATATCTGTAGTGAAAAAATTCTAAAAAATTTTACAAATTATTCATATCCACAAAATTTTGGGATATATTTTGCAAATTATAATTTATAGTTATAAAAAGGATACTCACAAGCTTATTAGCCATTTCCTAAATGAGAAGCGTGTTTATTTGGCACAGTTCACCTGAAGTGAAGATAAATTAATTTTTTTATTAACGAGTGAAAATTCTACCAAAATTGCCACTAGATTGAATTAAAATTTTAATATAGTTTCATTCTGATCTTTCATTGTGTAATGAAAGTATACAAAAATTATATTTTTGAGCACCTTTATAGTTTGGCAAAATAGCGTAGAATAAAAAAAAATAATAAAGGAAATTAAATATCTAATTTAAAGAAACAAATTGGAATACAAAAAACCGCTTTTGATGACAGAAGCTGAAAGAGCTCTGGATTTAGGCCTGTTAATGCGGCATCTTATATGCCTAGTCGATTAACCTCAAAAATCCGCAGCAGACGAGAAGACACAACGTTGAGGTAACAAAACATCCTCTCATGCTTGTTTGTGCGGATACTTTATTTTTTAGTCCACAAGATATCCTTGAAGTTTATAATTAATATTTTTTAAACCACGGCAAAATAAGCTCATCTACCACAAGAAATCGTCCAGGAAACAAGATTTGCATAATTTTAATTTAACATTTTTACTTTCCCCTACTTTAAAAACTCATAAATTTGAACATTTGTTTACAAATAGAGTCCTGCGCATGTAAAACACATTTCCTTTAATGTATTGGAAAATTCTATTTTGCGCCTCATATAGATTACTGAAATTTGTTTTCCAATCATCAAGGTGGATAAAAAAAAAATCATGGACTACTTTCTTCCCTGTTTCATCCTTAAAAAGTAAGATCAACCCAATACCAACATTCCATATATACTTGGTTAAAATATTGTATATATGTATGTGTGTGTCTGTTTTCCCTCGCTTATTGGCCGCCCTTTGAATTTCCCAATCCTTTTGACACCATCAAACTCATCCCAACCTTTCGAACTCACTTTTCTTTTTGCCATTTCGAAGAGGTATATAATTATAAAGTTGTAAAAACACGCATAATTTGAGATATAAAATACTTAATTTATTTGGCCCATTAATTTTAATTGCAAAATTCAACATAGGATTATAATTATTATTTCCTTAAATCACATTCATTTTAAATCGACTTCTGGTTCAAAGTAAAGTAAGCAAGAAAATCCGTTATATTTTTCCAATCAAAGGATTAAATTATTACACCCAAATTGTGGAAAAACGGGGAGGCCGAGTGCGATCTCTCGGGGACAACGTTGGTGGTGGTCGCCGTGGCGATTGTGGTGGTGTTCTTGGTGGTGATCTTCCTCGTCCACCGCGGCCAGAACGGCGCACCCGCGACAGCCCCGGCGCCTCCTCGGCCTCTAGATTTTCAGCCCGCTCGAAGACAGGCAGGTCTTCATCATCGTCTTGGGCAGCCACCAATGCGAGCAGCACCACCGCGGCCAACAAAAGCACCTGCGAATTTTTAAGAACGAGTCACAAAAACTTCGAGATGCAAAAATAATCATATTCTTTGAAAAAGTTTAAAGAAAAGCTCAACAGATTGTTAGCAAATTTATGGTTTCAAAAGGTTTATTTAAATTTTTTTCTATATAATTATACATGCTGGCTCAAAAGGTTATTTAATCAAAAAGAGATGTGAAGTTAATTTAACCTGAACTTTAACTTGAGTTAAAGTTTGATTTAAATCCCTTTTTCTCAGTTTTTTTAAATTTTTCCCTGTGCTCATTTTTGTGAAGAGTCAATAAATTATACTCATTGTCAGCTTTTCTCTCCTTAGATTGGCATAGCCTCTAAATCTTCACATCATACCCGTTTTTGCGATTTATAGATTTTATATTTAAATAAAAAATACTTACAAGCTTATTAGCCATTTTCTAGATGAGAATCGCGACGATTTGACACAGTGTATCTGAAGAAAAATTCATTTGTTAATGATGGTATGAAAAATTTCCAAAACTGCTTTGGAATGAAATATTTAATTAAAAGGAAATAAATTAATCCTGAGATCTTCCATAGATTTAGATACAAGTTATTATTCATTTAAAGTTCAAAGCAAAAAATAAAATAATAAATGTATGATATTATGTAGTTTTAGGTTGAAAAAATATCGTTGCGTAAAAAAAAAATGGTAATTATAGAAAATTTAATCTTTTACATTTTGAACAAAATTCAAATATTCAAAAATATTAAATTAAATGCAAAACAATACCACTTGTGATGTCAGAAGCTGAAAGAGCTCTGAATTTAGGTCTGTAATGCGGCATCTTATATGTCTAGTCGATTAACCTCAAAAATCCGCAGCAGACGAGAAGACACAATTTTGAGGTAGCAAAACATCCTCTCTTGCTTGTTTGTGCGGATACTTCAATTTTTTAGTCCACAAGATATCCTTGAAGCTCTCATTTAATTAACATATTTTTAAACCACGGCACAATAAGCTCATCTACCACAAGAAATCTTCCAGGAAACACGATTTGCATAATTTAATATTTTTACTTTCTCCTTCTTTAAAAACTTACTCATAAATTTGAACATCCTCCTTTTTTCCCTTTTACGTATAGGAACATTTCTTTTGTGCGCCTCATATAGATTATTGAAATTTTTTCCAATCATTAAGCTGAATAAAAAAAATTCATGGACTAACTTCATCCTTAAAAATTAATATCAACCAATCACTCTTCCAACATTCCATAGTTGGTTCAAATAATTTACGTGTGTTTGTGTGGGTTTTTTTAATCTGGATTTTTTGTAGAAATAGCTATCAAGTTTATGTATTAAAATTAATGGCATAATAGACATAATACAAAAATATAATAAGTTCAATAAATTTTTATAACGTATAGCAGAGGGAGCAAAGTCACTTTTTTCTCATTTTTTATTTGCTTCTTGCTATATAGATCATTATCAGTCTAATAAAACAGAGCATTGCTGCTGCTGTTGGAAAAATACATCACATTCGATGCAGTATTAAACTTTATATAATACCACTAATTTTTGTTTGCTGTTTTTTGTGTAAAATTTTGACAAATCAAAAAATTGGCGTTCAAATTTTTATAATTTTAGAAAAAAGATTCTGAAATCACACTAATTTTTACACATTTTTCAAAAATCTTTGCTGCTAAAAAAAAATTGACAGTTTTCCCTCGCTTATTTGCAGCCCTTTGAATTTTCCAATCCTTTTGACAACAACAAACTCATCCCAACCTTTCACACTCAAATTTTTGTTTGCCATTTGGAAGAGGGATTATATAAAGTTGTAAAAACACGCATAATTTGAGATATAAATACTAATTTATTTGGCCCATTAATTCCAATTGCAAAATTCAACATACTGAATTTTTCCTCAAATTACATTCATTTAATCGACTTCTGGTTCAAAGTTAAGTAAGCAAGAAAATCCGTCATATTTTTCCAATCAAACGATGTTACATTCAATTGTTACACCCAAATTGTGTAGCGGGTTGGATAACGAGGAGGCCGAGTGCGATCTGGTCTCGGGGACAAGGTTGGTGGTGGTCTTGGTGGTCCTCGTCGGCCGGCACGGCGCACCCGAGACAGCCCCGGTGCCTCCTCGGCCTCCAGGTTCTCTGCCCGCTCGACGACAGGCAGGTCTTCATCATCATCTTGGGCAGCCACCAATGCGACCAGCACCACCGCGGCCAACAAAAGCACCTGCGAATTTTTCAGAACGAGTCACAAAAACATCCAAAGTATCCAAACTTTATTGCATAAATAAGCATGATCTTTGAACAAAGTTTAAAGAAATAATGGAATGCTCAACAGATTGTTAGCCAATTGATGGTTTATTTAAATTTTTTCCAAACAATTATACATGCTGGCTCAAATGGTTATTTAATCAAAGTGCAGAGAGATGTGAAGTCAAATTAAACTTTTTTCTCAGTTTTTTAGGTTTTTTTAGCTTGTCCTCATCTTTTTGAGGAGTCAGTAAATTATACTCATTGTCAGCTCTTCTCCCCTTAGATTGGCATAACCTCTAATTGTTCACATCAAACCCGTTTTTGCTATATATAGATTTAAGATTTAAATAAAAAATACTTACAAGCTTATTAGCCATTTTCTAGATGAGAATCGCGACGATTTGACAAAGTGTATCTGAAGAAAAATTCATTTGTTAATGATGGAATGAAAAATTTACCAAAACTGCCTTTCGAATGAAATATTTAATTAAAAGGAAATAACTAATTAATCCTGATCTTCCATAGATTTAGATATAAGTTATTATTCATTTAAAGTTCAAAGCAACAACGAAAGGTATAAAATTATGTAATTTTAGGTTGACATAATATAGTTGTGTAAAAAAAAAAATAGAAAATTTAATCTTTAACATTTTGAAACAAAATCAAATATTCAAAAATATTAAATTAAAAGCAAAAAAATACCACTTGTGATGTCAGAAGATGAATGTGCTCTAGATTTAAGCCAGTTATGAGCCACCTTTTATACCAGTCAAATAACCTCAAAGTTCCGCAGCAGAGAAGACACACAAATTCGCGGTGAAAAACATCCTCCCATTGCATGTTTGTGCGGAGCCGGATACTTCAATTTTTGATTCCACAAGATGCCCCTGAGCTTTTTAAATCATACTTTTAAACCGCACAAAAAATTTCTAGAGCAGAGAGAAGCACCAGAAATCATGAAAATAATTTGAACGTATTCAAAGAACTTAACCCATAAAAATCACAGAATAATTATTTTCTGCATCTCGCTTTAACTTTCAAATCTTGACGCCAAACAACTCATTCTCTCCTCTCCTTAAGCACAAAACTTTCTGTTTGCAGTGTGCAAAAGCATATAAAATGTTTCAATGAAAAATGCATTATTTGATGTATAAATATTATTTATTTGGCCAATGTCAATAGAAATTGAAAAATTTAGAAGACACAGAATTTTGGTTCCCCCCCCCTAAATGACGTTTGTTTCGAAATTTAAGAATATGAACTAATTATTCTGAATTGTATTATTTTCTATTTGAACACGCAATGAAACTTTCAATTAGAGTAGAACTGTGAAAAGTACAGGTGAAGGCCGAGTTCCATCCTTTGGGGACATTGTTGGTGCTGGTGTTCGCCGAGGTGATTGTGGTGGTGTTCTTGGGGGTGATCCTCCTCGTCCACCGCGGCCAGAACGGCGCACCCGCGACAAAGCCGGTGCCTCCTCGACCTCCAGGTTCTCTGCCCGCTCAAATACAGGCGTTTCATCTTCATCGTCTTGGGCAGCCACTCAGCCACCAATGCGAATATTCTTAAACCACGGCACAATAAGCTCATCTACCACAAGAAATCTTCTAGGAAACACGATTTGCATAATTTAATATTTTGACTTTCTCCTTCTTTAAAAAATCATAAATTTGAACATTTGTTTACAATTAGAGTCTTGCAAAACAAAATCCTCCTTTTTTCCTTTTACGTATTGGAAAATTTCTTTTGTGCGCCTCATATAGATTATTGAAATTTTTTTCCAATCATTAAGCTGGATTAAAAAATTCATGGACTGATTTCATCCTTAAAAAGTAATATCAACTCTTCCAACATTCCATAGTTCAAAGTTCAAATAATTTACGTGTGTTTGTGTGGGTTTTTTTAATATGGATTTTTTGTAGAAATAGCTATCAAGTTTATGTATTAAAATTAATGGCATAATAGAAAAATATAATAAGTTCAATAAATTTTATAACCTATAGCAGAGGGAGCAATGTCACTTATTTCTCATTTTTTTATTTGCTTCTTGCTATATAGATCATTATCAGTCTAATAAAACAGAGCATTGCTGCTGCTGTTGGAAAAATACATCCCATTCGATGAAGTATCAAACTTTATATAATACCACTAATTTTTGTTTGCTGTAATTTTTTTTTTTAAATTTGACAAACATTGGTGTGAAAATTTTTAATTTTAGCAAAAAAAATTCTGCAATCATACTAAATTATACACATATTTCAAAAATCTTCGCTGCTAAAAAAATATTAAAAGTTTTCCCAAGCTTATTGGCAGCCCTTTGAATTTTCCAATCCTTTTGACAACAACAAAATCATCCCAACCTTTCGCACGTCACTTTTCTCTTTGCCATTTGGAAGAGGTATAAAGTTGTAAAAACACACATAATTTGAGATATAAATTTAATTTATTTGGCCCATTAATTTTAATTGCAAAATTCAACTTAGCAATATATTTATTACTTCCTCAAATTACCTTCATTTTTAATATATTCTGGTTCAAAGTAAAGAATAAGCAAGAAAATCCGTCATTTTTTTCCAATCAAACGATTCAATTATTACACCCAAACTGTGGGCCTACGAGGAGGCCGAGTGGCCAACGTGTGTGATGGTCGCGGTGGTGATGTTGGTGGTGTTCTTGGTGGTGGTCGCCGTGGTGATTGTGGTGGTGGTCTTCGTCGGCGCACCCGCGTCAAAGCCGGTGCATCCTCGACCTCAAGGTTCTCTGCCCGCTCGAAGACAGGCAGGTCTTCATCATCGTCTTGGGCAGCCACCAATGCGAGCAGCACCACCGCGGCCAACAAAAGCACCTGCGAATTTTTAAGAACGAGTCACAAAAACTTCGAGATGCAAAAATAATCATACTCTTTGAAAAAGTTTAAAGAAAAGCTCAACAGATTGTTAGCAAATTTATGGTTTCAAAAGGTTTATTTAAATTTTTTTCTATATAATTATACATGCTGGCTCAAAAGGTTATTTAATCAAAAAGAGATGTGAAGTCAATTTAACCTGAACTTTAACTTGGGTTAAAGTTGATTTAAATCCCTTTTTCACAGTTTTTTAAATTTTTTCCCTGTCATCATTTTTGTGAGGAGTCAATAAATTATACTTATTGTCAGCTCTTCTCTCCTTAGATTGGCATGGCCTCTAAATCTTCACATCAAACCCGTTTTCGCGATACATAGATTTCAGATTTAAATAAAAAATACTTACAAGCTTATTAGCCATTTCCTAGTTGAGAATCGTGACGATTTGACGCAGTGTATCTACAGGAAAATTCATTTGTTAATGGAGGAGTGAAAAATTGACCAAAATTCATTTAAAATGAAATATTTAATGCGATTTTAAGTTCTGATCTTCCATAGATTTAGATATCAGTAAAAGTAAAAAAGCAAAAAACGCATGTATGAAATAAAGTAGTTTTAGGTTGACAAAATATTGTTGCGTAAAAAGATATTTTAGGAAATTTAATCTTTAACACTTTTAACCAAATTCGAATTTTTAAAAAGAAAAGATTAAATGGAAAAAAAATACCACTTTTGATGTCGGAAGCTGAATGAGCTCTGGATTTAGGCCTGTTATGAGCCACCTTTTATACCAGTCAAATAACATCAAAATTCCGCAGCAGAGAAGACACAAAATTTCGCGGTAAAAAACATCCTTTCAATGCATATTTGTGCGGATACTTTAATTTTTAACTCCACAAGATGCCCTTGAGCTTTTTAAATCATATTTTCAAACCGCACAATACGCTTCTAGAGCAGATAGAAGAACAAGAAACCTTTATAATTTTAACATTCAGAGAACCTTACATAAAAAACGCAGAATGTTTTCCACCCCTTATAATTGCACCGCTTTAACTTCCCAATCTTTGACACCAACCAAATCACTCCTCTCCTTCAGCACCGACCTCTCTGTTCGCAGTGCATGCTCGCGTCATTCCGCAGAAGTATTTAAAATGTTTTAATAAAAAATGCATAATATGCGATTAATAAAAAATATTGTTTATTTGGCCCACGTCAATAGTTATTGAAAAATTTAGATGACATAGAGGTAGATTTTCCATATCTTCTAATAATTCTAATTTCAATAATTAATTAAAATAAGCAAACCGTTAATTGCTATCCAATCAAACACGCAATGAAACTTTTGATTAGATGAGTTGCAATGTGCATAGCATAGTGTGGATACCTCAATTTTTAACTCCAGGAGATCAGAGATGCCCTTGAGCGCCCTTGAGCTTTTTAAATAATATTTTTAAACCACTCCAAACCACATAAAATACACTTAATTCCAATTCAATTTTTGAAACATCTTGCAGCCTGAGGTACTAGGGTAGCAACACATCCATACTCTCTTTTTGCACCAACTTTTCTCTTTGTAGTGTGCTCGCGCCATTGGATAATTATTAAAATATTTTAATAAAATGCATAATTTGAGTTATGAATCATTATTAATGTTTATGTATTGACCGCATATCAATAGTCAATAGGGGGGGTTTAGGCCTAGAAAAAGTGTCTTATCAGCCTTATGAACTTGCAGACAGAAAAAGCTCCTCTTATTTTTTTATTGGGAATTTTTTTTTTTTTTATTGTAACTTTTATCATGATTAACATTATTTTTCTTTCTCTTTTCATTTATTTTTAGTTCGGGTTTTGTTTCAAATTAATCAATGTTTATTAAGAAAATGAATTATGTTCCAATCAAAAAATGAAACTTTAAATTACACCCAAATTGTCCAACGATGAGGTTGACGCCGATAGCGATTCAGGGAAATCGTCGGTGGTGGTACACGGCGCACCCGCGATAGCCCTGGCGCCTCCGCAGCCTCCAATTTCACCTGCTCTGCCCGTTCATAGTCCGGTAGGTCATCGTCATCATGATTGTCCTGGGCAGCCACCAACGCGAGCAGCACCACCGCGACAAACAGAAGCACCTTCGAATTTTTAAACTTTTCAAAAACGCGCGACAAAAATTAAAACAGCTCAATGGAATGTTCAATTGAAATTGGAGAAGAACAATTCTGAAGTAGAGAAAATGATTAAAAAAAATTGTGGAAAAATTGGAAACTCGAAATGATTGGGAAATGTTTTGGCCAAGCTTAAAAAAAATTAATCGAAACTTTGATCAAAAACGATTATGTTTTTTAGTATATTATCCCTGAACATTCAGTGATTGCCAGATCAAACTAATTTTTCCCATTTTAAATTTTATGAGAGCAAAAGAGATTTAGATTTTTTTCAAATATTGTTAAAAGTCCTTAGGTGTCCTAGTAACATTTTTAAATTGCAATTATTCCCTCTTATGTTGGGCATGACTTAAATAATTTAATTTTTTAAATCTACATAGTTTTGGGGGAGGTTAGAATTATTCAAATTATTAAAAACTCACGAGCTTATTCTTATAAGTCATGTCCTAGGTCCAAGATGAAAATTTGCAGTTGATATCTGTAGAGGAAAATTCGTTTTTGTTAAGAAATTATAAATCTACTAAAACTGCCAATGTGTTTCGAAATATTTCTCTAGTTGCAATGCTGATCGGCAGTTGCATTATTTATTTAATATTAAAAACAAAGAGTGAAGGGAGTTATGGTAATTTTAGTTTGGAAAGATTGCGTATAATGTTGGAAATATCAAGTAAAAATTAATGGGGGGGGGGGGCAGGGTATTGAATTTTAATTAAAAAAAGATAAAATTAAAACCAAAATTGATGATGGAAGAAGCTGAAAGATCTCTCTGGATTTGGTTCACCAATGCGACAACTTTTAAACCAGTCGAATAATGTCAGAAATCAGCAAAAGACCCTCAATGTTTGTGGTTAAATAACATCCTTTCAAATATGTGCAGAGCGGATGCTTCAATTTTTTAGTAAACAAGATGTCCTTGAGATTTATATGTAAATGTAAACCGCATAATATGCTCATCTAGAATTGAAATTTTCTTTTCATTTTTACCGACATTTATTGCCCTATGTGTTGTGTGCTTTCTTTTAATCTGGATATCCTTTTGGAACAAACTGAGTAATAATCAATTTCATATATTTATATTAAAATTTTTATTCATCAATAGCACAAAGTATATAAGTTCAATCAATTCTTTATAACGTACAGCAGAGGCACATTGTTTTCTTCATCTTTGCTTCTTGCCATAGAGTTCAGTCTAAGTTACACAATAACAGAGCACTGCTGTTTATCATAAAAAATATCAGTTTCGATAGATTTAAATTTATATAATACCCTGCTGCTTCACATGGAAAAAAGAAAGCAGATGGCTGGTTTTTAGTTTAAAGTTTCGTTAAAAAAATTGACATTTTATATATTTACAAAAAAAGTTGACAAGAGGAAAATTTCTTGAGTTGCGCACACCATTATAAAAAATCAAGTTGGAGAAAGACTATCTCGTTTTCGCGAACACTACTTTATTGAAAAAGTGTGTGTGAGAGACGGGGAAATTCAAACAACTCGGCCAGTTCTGAGTAAGCGAACTTGTCTCCAGCCTGCGGAGACAAAACTTAATTCGTGCTTGAAACTGGAGGGAAATTGATTTAACTATCACTAGTGGCTATCGAACTGGCACATGAAGTGTTGTGGCGAATGTCCAGGGTTGGTCTCAGGGATAGCGACCCTTCGACCCAGAAATTGGGGCGCTCCAGCATCAACTGCCAGAGGGACATCTCCTTGCCACTAGCGTCCATCCAGTCCACACTCTTTCCAAAGTGCTTGCCTGTAAAAACAAGAATAAATACAAAAATTTAATTTTCATACATAAAAGTTGAGAATTTAAATTAAATTCACAGCTTGTTTCAAATTTATTACTCCTGTTCAATTTTATTTTCGGAGCTTTATAAACTTTATAAATAAAATTAATGATTTTTGAGTCAAAATTATTGATTTAAACTTGGAAATTTCATGGAAAACGTAAGGGGCGATCATCCGAGCACAATTTCTGAATTGATTTCAGGTTTCTCCTAAAAATTAATTAACTCAATAAACATCAATAATTTTAAAAGTCAGTGTAAATTTCTTGAAGATAACATCTGGATATCAATTAATTTTAATTTCAAGGACCTAGAAAATTCTCTTAATTGTAGGCAATGACTTTCAGTGTTTGGTAAACAATTTTTCATGTTTTTTTTTTTTGTTCTACGGCGCTCTTGATATTTTTTATTTGTTTTAAATCTGAAGTTGTCTGAATATATTAAAATTGACTCTACCATTCAAGTGTTTTTTTTATAGCAACGAAATTTGAGTAAAAAATTTATGGTAAACATTTTTTTCAAAATCGGAACAAATTTTGATTGAATTTACCTGATCCAAGGTTGAACCTGAGCCCTCCAAGGAATTCGTTGCTGGCAAGCCGGTCGTGGTCCCAGACAGTGAGTTCGAGGGAGCGCTCGGCCAATTCCTGCAGAGTGACATCTTCGTAGACGAAGGTGTGATTCCAGGCAGGATTGCACGAACGTCGAGCCACGCTGGTCTTCTGTTTGCTTCCCCTGCCTTTCTCAGGCAACAAATAGCTGCAAAGAAATTTAAAATAAAAAATCACCAGAAAAATTTAAAATAAAACTTAACCTTTTGCAAAAGGGGTCCGACGTGCCACTCGTCTTGACTGCGGTGAGGTTTTTGGCTTCTTTGACCAGGACGTGCAGAGAACCTTTGGGCTGTTTGTTTTTCTTCTTGCCATTGCCCATCGACGACACCTCGGGAGGCACAAATTTCAGCCCGACAATGATATCACCCTTGTACGAGATCAATTCTTCAAATGGCTCGGTCTGAAATGATTTTTATTTAAATTAATATTTCATAAATTTGATTAATTAAATTTTAGACAAGTATAAAACAGATGATTGAAATTGCCAACTGATGGTAAAAAGAAAAAAAATCAAATTTTAATAACAGCAATAACAAATCAACTCTAAAGAATAAATTTCAAATATGTCTTCAACGGCTAGAATTAAAAATAAAATATTTATCATATCAACAGTGATATAATAAATAACAATGCTTAATTTCTATTGAGATGAGAAACCTACCCGCTCTTGCAGGGGATACCACTTGGGGGTTGGGTCGTCAAAGACCACATTTTCGAGGGACATCATGACTTCGCCTAGGAAATCGTTTCTACCAAACATGTCACTGTGCCAGACAGTCAGCCACAGGGTTCTCGTTTCCAAACCTTGCAGAGTCAGTTGGAACTGCAATCATAAAAAAGAAATATTGCAATAAAATTTAATGGTTATTCGAAAAAGTACCTTAAGGGTTTCTTCAAAGATGGGGTTGAGTGTGTGCTTCTTGACTTTAGTTTTTCTTTTTCCACTCTTGGACTTGTCCGGTAGCAGGTAAACCTTCACATACCTGAAATTGACACAAAGAATAAATCAGATGCATAGAAAATTAACTAAAATTTATTTTACTTTCTAATTAAATCTCAAATTGTTTCTTTCATTTATTTCTTCAATGAGAGCAAAAAAATAATTATAAAATATGATATTAATTTACTCTATATATTCATTTTTTTGTTCAAATTTTCTTTAATGAAATTATTTAAAACCATTCAATTTTGACTGAATTAAATAAATTAAACTCCCAGTGGAACCTTAACTGGGGAATTAAGCCAGATTTTAAGCTGCCGATTGACTTAATAATTAATAAAGTTAATAAACTCATCACATTGTTTTTATGTTATTAATTCATTTCTTAATAATTACGGATCAGATCTGCTTCGTTTGGCGTCAACAGGGGCCAGGTCGCGACACTGCTTGACCAGAATCTCAAGTGCACCAGCCTTGTAGTTGTACTGCATGCCGAATTCGACTTCACCTCGAACCGCTACAGTTCCATACCTGCCGTCACCAGCGCCGGAGTACACGCTGGCCATAGAGTCACTTCGAACCTGCATCCGAAATTATACAAAAAGGTTCAAAATTAAAAAGTGAAATTTATACCCCGAGGGCGGCTGTGCTCCTCTGGTGGTGCATCGCGACCAAGCAGTCCACGTCCTCCTCATTGTTGCCGGGCCACTCGGACGAGGGCGTCGACTTGGATTTGGACTGAAGGGTGCCCTGAGGGGTGCCACCTTGCGGGGTGCTGCAGTTGCTCAGGGAGCCCACATCCTCCAAGTCATCTAAAGCAACAAAAATTAAAAAATTAAACCAAATCCAAAACTCCTTTTTTTGCATTTGAAAGAAGTATAACTGAGTGCTTGTCTGGTGATTTTTTTCTATAATATATTTTGAACATAAATTCAAATTCTAGGCTACAATAGAAGAAAAAGTTAGTTTCAATTAAATAAAAATAATGATAAAAGTGATTCTTCAGGTGATATCTTTATATTCGTACAAATCTGCAAAAAACAATTTTGGCTTGAACGACAAAAAAGATTTTTTTTTCAATTTGAAATTAAAATTTATAACGAAATTGAAAAATTAAGTAATGAAACCTAAAATTAACGAAGATGTGTTGATTTTTTCAATGATAAATTTAAAATTCAGGACTAACAGTTGACAGTGCATGTCTCATCCCTGTCCGAATTGATCGAGAGATTGGAGGCCGACAGAGCATTGCTGATGACAATGAGTGGAACTTTTGACGCCGGTTTCGCTGACACCATCGAATACCTCTCAAAAACGTCATCCATGTCTAAATCTGAATTATCCCCTTTGGTGTTTTGCGAGCAGCAGCAGCAGCAAATTCGCCGCCAACAGCTCTGATTTTCCGAAACAGAACTACTACTTTCTTCGGTTGAACTTCCGGCGGTCATTTGGTAATCGGCAATTTTGGGAGTCAGTTTGCTGCTCAGCCCGAGTTTTTCCTCAGAATTTTTCATCTCGTACTTGGCTTTTTGAGGCTATTAAAATTTTGGTTATTAATTTTTGTATAAATTTTTCATTTTTCAACGATTTTCAATAAAAGTTAAAACGATCTGATTGAAAATTTTGAAATGAATCAAATAAAGTGAGAGAAAGTTGAAAAAAAATGTCAAATGTTAGAAAGAAAGATAAATTCACATATTTTTTTTTTTAGGGAATTATAGCTTTCACTCAAGTTGTTTGTGTAAAATATATTTTCCGTTATTGTAAAGAAAAAAATTAAAAATTATAAAAAATTACTAAAAAAACTAAATGCATTTAGGAAAAATAATTAAAACTTATTTGGAAGTGTTATTGACATCAATAATTTTTCAAATAGTAATTAAATTATAAGAAAATATTATTTTAAAAAAGAGTTTTAAATAGAGTGAATATTAAAATTGGATTGGATTACTGATGAAAAAAATGTATAAAAATTACCAAGACGCAATTAAATCCTGATCAAATCGTTCTAAGTAACAAATTTACTGACTTTTCCAGATCAGACTAACGCAAGTGACTCTTCTTGACGTTCAAAACGCGATTAATCGAGTGATTTAAAGCAACAGATTTTCCCCGCAGACGTCAATCAAGCGGATATCCTCGGCACATTGCGCCACGAGACGGATGCTGTTAAACGAACCAAGTGGACGGACTGGTAATTGAAAACCGAGATTAATTTTAATTGAAGCAAAACCACACCTCATTATTGGTTTTGAGATTGCAACCAACAAAATACCGCAAATTATTTAAAATATCTGAGACAACAAATTATCACACAAAAAAAAAACGATTTTAGATGAAAATTTGTTTAAATTATATTTGTCAAGTAAAAATTATAATCATTTTTAAATTAAAAGATGTGCACAAAATTTAAGCAAAGTTTTTGTTTTAAATATCAAAAAACAAAAATTACAATTAAATAAATTATTGTGCCAGAGCAATATTTACGTGAAAAAGAAAAACTTTCTATCCCAGAAACAATGGCAATAATTATTACATAAATTAATAAAACAGAACCCACGCTATGTTATTTATATTCCATGTCTTTCTTGAAAGGCTGTGATTTTTTCTGCGTTACATCAGCGCCGTGGTCGGCAGTGCGGTTTTATTGTTTTAGAAAGTGATTTCACGGCGTGGGTGTATTACAGGCTTCCCATTCAACTCGACATCGATTTCGTACGCTACATAGATTAATTACGAAAAGCTGCACAGTTGAAATTTAATATTAATAATGAATGGGAAGCGCGGCGATGCGCGAAAAGTACACGGAAAATCGAATGGTGTGACTTCCTTCTCAATTATATATTGAAATGAAATCAGAGCGCAGATGGATTTGAAAAAAAAAATGCATTGTTTGGAATTATTTACGAGGAAGTTTTAAAAGAAGACGAGCGAGTCGGTGCAGGCAGGGGTTCTCAATTAGCCGAATTCAGCTGAGCAAGCATATAGAATTTCCGAACAAAGAGAAGTGGTTTATTCATTCTAATTGCGAACGAATTGAACTTTCTAATCGGACAAAGTTGTTCTCACACTGAAATTAACTTTTACAATTCAAACACCCAATTTAGTTTTGAGCTAAGAAAACTGACAACGGTTTACACATTTTAAATTAATGTCCACAATAATTTTAAACATTTCAATGAAGTCTAACGATAAATATAACTGAAGAAAAACAATTCTGGAATAAAATCTTTTAAATGAAATCTTATTTGAGACCAAAATCTCTGGTTTATAATGAAAATGGGATTATCTGTAAATTAAATCATACACTAAATATTTTACTTTATATCTACTGCTGTATATATAAGATAAATTTTTTCTACCCTATTTTACTAATAGTGAAAAGTTTAAAACAAATCAGATTTTATAGTGTTTGAAAGTAATTAAGTCATTAAATTTTAAAGTTTTAATAAAAAATTAATATGAAAAATTTTAATTTTTTTTATCCGTTTCAAATGCAAATAACTCCCTTCAAATTGAAAAAAAATGTAGAGTAAAAAATTCAAAGCAATAAAGCCCTATTATTTATTTGAACAAAAATTTACTTAATTGAGCACCTGTTTGTTGTTGACTCCAAACTCCATTGTTATCTCGCAGGCAGAAATAACACAGAGTACCAATGCACATATGGGTGGAAACTTTATAGTTAATGCCACTTTATTTTTATGGGCGTGATGCTTTTTATCACTTGACTTCACACGCAATAAAGCAGACGCAGATATGTGCCAGATGAAAAATGTACATGGATTCGATTTTATATACAAAATGAAGTTGAAATTTTTATGACCGCAGATCGGCCGTAAAATTCCTCTTAATTGATTTGCGCCAAGGGAGATCGTAAAATTAATTATTTGGCCTTGGTAAGTTCAAAGTACTGAAAGTGGCTCTTGAATAATTTTTATCGGCGCGAGATTAAGTACAGTGAGAGTCAAAAAATATTATTACAGCCTTAATTTGTCTTGAAATGGAGAATAATTGTCATTGTTGTTTGAATCTAGATTCCCCTCGGGACATTCTCTGCTCGCATCGGTTTCTCTCAATTTGCAAACAATCAAGTTAGAAAGTGATCGGTTTCAAATAGACAAGTTCGATCAACTCTTTAAATTAAAATCAGAGAAACTGATCAAAAAAATTTGTAACTTCTTTTCCGAGCCACCCATAAACTAATTTCACATAATTTTTTTCTTAACATTGCTCCTCTCTAAAAGTGGGTCACGTTATTTAGAGGCTTGGAATTCTGACGTGCATCTCTCACTCTACTCTCTCGCCAGATTATTACTGTGATTATTATGCCATCAACACACAGCAGCATCTCAACACAGTAGTATAGCAGACAGAGTGAGAGACGCGCATTCTCTCTCGCCCGACACTCAGTCTGTCCCACTAAAATTAATTAATCGCAAATTAGCAGAGGTCTACATAACATACAAGTCATGTTCAACAACAGAGAGAAAGACTTAGTTAGATATAACAAAAAACTATGAGTGAAGTCTGCAAATTTTAAGCAAAGAAATTTTCCAGCCGGAACTTTTATGCCATAATTATGTCATAATCGGCAGAATTAAAAGAGAAACTGCTACATAATTAATGAATAATTAAAATAATTTTCAATTAAAATTAACTTGATGAGACCGACGATTATATCCTAAATTTCTTACATAAATACGAGTTTTATGAAAATTTGGTTAAAATTTAAAAATTTTTGCTATTATTAAATTATTTATAATAATCGTAATACATATATTTAAATAAGTTTTTAATAGATTTCTGCCTTCTACCACTAAATATAATTGTTTTAAGCATACAAAAATAAAAATAAAACTTTATTTAATATACAAAATATATAATTAAGGAAAAATTCAATTTATTAATTAAATTATAATTGAATAAATTATATTACATAAAAGTTTTTTTTGTATCTTAAAATTTTTAAAAGACACTCCCCATCCTATCTTTCTGCAATAGTCGATTAAGTAAAATTACCAATTAACTAGAAATTTTAATTTGAAAGTGATAAAAATTTGATTAAAAATTGGCACTCCATGATAAAAATTTGCTTATTGAAAGTTAGAATTTATTATTTTTATTTTTTGCATCTTTCCATCTCATTCGTATTGACAGCGTCCAGTTATATTTATTATTTATAATTATACTGTTAATTAAATCATCAGTTAATTTTCTCACCACCAAAGAACACGCAATTTCTTGTAAAACACAATAATTTCTTTATTTCTCACATACAATTACGCGCCGTGGTTGTGATTGGAATTTGTTCAAAATGCGCCAACTCGCATGTACATACAAAGCGTCCAATGCACTCTGCTTATAAATTGTTATTAAATTATGGATGAGTGGCTGCGAGCACGTATTGTGCCCTGGGATCGAGAGCTGCACGGCCGCAGCGTGAGGCGCGCGACGAGGAGTGCAGCAAAGTGATATAACGGGAGTTTGGCTGCTCTGCTTGAGCACAAAGGCGAAGGAGCTGCTCGTTTGCTGCTTTTTCTCCAAATGCAGCAAAAGGAATTCCGACACAAAAACAGCAAACTTTCCTCAGCAAAAGATTCCAAATTGGCAAAAAAAATCAATTGTTAACTTTTAATTCCTAATGATGAAATTATTTCAGTTTAACTTTGCATTGTTGTTTCTTTCTTCAAATTGTTGCAAATATTTTACATCGAAAAAAATTGTTAGGATGGAAACATTGAACTGTTGGGGGAAAAGGCACCAACACTAGCAAAGGTTTTGCTATGAATATCTGAGATAAAAAAGAACC